AAAGGAGCAGAACTGGACACGGATGGGAAGGAACTTTCAAAACTCTCCAGAAAGAAGCAGCGAGAATTTATGCGAGTAGCGAGAGGTCAAAGGCCAAAGACCTTTGGCCAAAGGCCAGAGGTGCGTCAGTTTTCGAGTCTGGCACGCGGGGAAACATCCGATACAAAGGCCTTTGTTGTTTCCTTTGTTCCGCTGTTCATCCTCCTCATCACACGTTCAGCTGACGGATACGAGACATGATCCAAGGTCCACAAGAGCATTTCGCAAACCGTCCAACTGCTCCAACCCCGTCCAACCTGTATTTACTAACCGTCCGATCGGACACATTTGCGACACTGACCGTCCGATCGCGCACATCGATCACCAGCAATCCGCCCAGCTGCTCCACGCCGACCACCATGTTTTAACTACCCGATCGGACACATTTGCGACGCTGAAAGTCCGATCGCGCTTACCGTTAACCATGGCCGTCCGATCGCAGACATTCCCGGAGATGTACTCGAGCTGTCCGCTGCGCGCCGAGTCCCGCACGATCCCCGCCTCGCCCTCGCAGTTGGCCTCGTCGTCCGTGAGCCTGAGCTCGGGCGCCATGTCTACCACTCGCACCGTGCTCCATTCGCCCGTCGCTAACAGCTTACGAACCAGCCAGCGACCGACGAAACCGCGACCCCCGGTTACCACACACACCTGGCGACGGGGATACGAGGGAGACAGTGAGACCCGGTTGCGAGAGAAGATTGGAGAAAGAAGTGGGAGGGGGTGTTGCGGGACTGAAATAGGGCTGGAGTAAGAAGAGGGCGGCAGTAGCTAGTAAAGCGTTGATTTAGCGAAACCATCAACAAACCCTAGCGACAGTTAACAGGCCTTCGTCCGCGATGAAGAGGGAATAGAGAAACTGAACAAATCTAAGCATGTGTGTATTCCATGGCAAGTCACGAGGGCTGACATGGATACGGGATTCGGATCTCAACACGCACCTGGCCAGCCATGGCTGGATCCAATGTACTCAGCTAAACAACAGAGCGTGACCGATCAAGTCGTCGATCGTCCTACGCTCAATGAAGGAAACAGCTATGCGCAGTTGGGGGCACTACAAGCCTTGAATGTGAAAAACAGCAGAAACAGATAACAGCAGAAACAGCAGAATTGATGGATTTGTGGAGGTAGATCGCGTTCGAGTTCTGAATTTCGAGTTCCTCCCCGATGACTGCCAATTTTCCCAAGATTCAGGAGAACCTCGCCAGGCAGTGCCCCAAGTCTATGGAGTTCTCGAGGTGATGAATGCTTCATAGAAACGACCTCGGTGATTGGTCAGCGCGCATGTGCGCGTCTGCTGCATACACCGATAGTGTACCAGTGGTGTAGAAAATATTGAAGTGCAGCGAATGATATTGGTGCTTACATTGCTTCCTTTACAATTTTGAAAATTAACTTCTATAGGAGAGGTCCGCCGCGTACAATAACTCTCCATAGTGTTCTACGTTTTTATTGGTGAAAAGTGATTTTCCGCGTGTTAATTCCGGAGTGGTCGTTTATATCTCACGTGCATCCAGTTTGATATTGATTCGTGGAAGCACACCCTCTTCTCCAATGAGATGGCGTGGCACTCATTCATTCGTCTGAAATCCTTTTGCCCCCTCATGAACCCTCAAGAACGTTCTTCGCGCCTGGCTATCTCGTTGACCAATGAAAGGCAATTTTCTCTCGAGGCGCAACAAGATTCAAGAAGCTCCACACCTATTGTCTCCCAACCTTTCGGTTCACACGATCAATGTTTTACCTGCCCGTCAAGCACATGAATAATGTATCTACGTTTTTTTTGCTACTTCGACATTACGGTACATTCTTTTTGGACAATTGCACACAGCGAGAGCTGGAAGCATTTGGAAACTTTCCCACCTTCAAACCCTTCCTGAACCCGACGCACCCCAGCTGTGGTCTGTCGAAGGGAAGGAATGGCAAGCACGCCTCATCCAATCTCGGGGACTCGAAATCGAACAGAAAATGTCGAGTCGCACTTTCTAGGGTGGAGGTTGTAAGGAACTCTAGCACTGGAGAGCAGACCAGCGAACAGCATAAATTGACGGCTTTATTATACAAAAGATCATCAGGCAACGTGGTTTATACAGTTGTACGCCTCCATCCTACTCTCACAGCCCCCCTTCGTCTATAGACCCCAGAACTCGTTGCCTGGTCCTACACCCCTTGCGGGCCCTACACCACAGCCTTCCTTCAGGCTCTTGTATATACCACGACGCTCCGTGGTTGTAAATATCGCCGTCGCGCGTACATTCGCATTCAAGTTTCGCCTCGTCTCTCTCAATCCATTCCTGTATAAATGGCTCCTCCCATGGGAGACGCGTCCGGCCCTACAACCATGCTGATGCCTGACGTCAGCAGCGGGAGCCTCTTCGTCCACCCGTCGGATTTCCATCACGGAAGCATCGATGGCCCCGCAGCCGTCGATTCTTTCCGCCAGGCCTTTTTCACCTCTCAGCTCGACCGCGCCATCCTCGATAAGACATTCTCGGACCGTGATGTTGTCACCGAGCCGGCGAGTTACGAGGAAGGCTACGTGTACGACCCGACGGCGCCGATTCCGGCAAATGCGACGGACGTGGTGTTGGTGCGGCACGGCGAGACGTTTTGGAACCACGACCACCGCCTGCAGGGCCAGCTCGACACGGAACTCAACGCCGCGGGCCTCGCGCAAGCTCAGGCAGTACGATTCATCGCAAATCCCTTTGCTTTCCGTTCTTGTGTAGAGAGTTTCTGATAGAACTTTGTTTTTCCGTATGGATTCTCGTTTTTGTGCCCATTTCTCCCCTTTATTTCCGGAAACGGAGGTCGTCGTTGGGTTTCTTTCAGCTGTACCGCGCACTAACAGTCTTGCAACGCGCGTGTGCAGGTCGCGGCGCGGTTCGCCACGTGGGAGTTTCCCTTCTGTGCCATCTACGCGTCGGATCTGCGACGCGCCGCGGACACTGCGCAGGCCATTGCAGACCGCGCGGGATTCCCGGGGATTGTGAAGGACTCGGGGCTGCGCGAGCGCCACATCGGACACCTTCAAGGCTGCCTGGCCCACGAGGCGCCTTTCAAACAGCCCGAGGCGTTCAAGGCGTTTCAATCGTCTGATCCCACTGTCACCATTCCTGTAAGCGCGCCGCCGACCTTTACCGCCTGCCGGCTCTTTATTACTACGCAACGAGTTAGTACATGCTCAAACAAATGACATGTTAGGGGTCATCGTCTCGACAACTGAGGAACGCAATCCTGCGGCGACTAAATGCTCATTTCGTTTCAATTCTGCCTCTGTCTCTTCGTTCCGTCGGTTTTAGGGCGGCGGGGAGAGCATGGCTCAACTGGTCGAGCGGACGAGCAAGACAGTGGAGAAGATCGCTCGCCGTCACCGCGGTGAGCTGATATAGACATCGTTTTATTGTAGCAACTCTTTCCCTTGCCCTGCTCTCGAGGTAATATTGAAACACGACGGGAATGTAAGTGAACAACCCCGAGCCTAGGCTACCCTCCTCTCGTTTCCACCCGCTCATTCACTCCCTGTTCTGCCTCCCTCCCTCCCGACACCCAACTGCGGAACTCTGTGTTCTCTTCCATGATTTCAGGCAAGCGCGTGGTGGTTGTTTGTCATGGTGCCGTGATGATGGCGCTGCATCGCCACGCGTTGGGGCATGACTCGTCCATGGGGGTCATCAACGCGTCGATCAATGTCGTCCGCCTGTCTGCTGATCACACGTGGCGTGTTCTTCACTGGGGCGATGTGAAGCATCTCCATGGAATGGAATTCGATCATGATGGCTTTGGCGGTGGCAAAGACTCGGCTTAGTATTGTAACGAAGACAAGGATGTATAGCGGTCAAGCAAACCATAACAAATAATGCAGCGGTGGATAATGTGGATATTGTAGATCATGTGACACTCAGTGCCAGGCTAAAAAAGTGCACTAACTTGTTATTACTAAATGGATTACTAATTGAGCGTACAACAGAAGCAGCCGAACCGTGTGCCGCGAATTCACCTAAAAGTGTGTTCGAAGTACTCACTAGCTCGACGTCGGGGGATGTCGGTGAATCCTGACGGTTGAAATTCTCGATCCGAGGGTTGACATTCACCGACGTACCTCGACGTCGAGCTGGTGTTGCACTTTGAACACGCATTAACACTGGTGTGCCCCGAGCATCCAGAATGAATTTAGGTCAATGACTTGTGTCTGAAATGCTTATATCAGAACAATAATAAGTACCTGCCTGCCAAAATAACCTCTAGGATCCTACAAAGTAGGGTACCTACCTGCCAAAACTACCTCTATGATCTTAGTACAAGAATAAATACCCATCTGCCAAAACTAGCTCCAAACCTAAAGGTGAGCATTAAATCTCCAGGCTCCAGCTTTGTCATACCACACCCTTTTCAACATGCCTATGACTTACAACTGAATATGGTACCGCGGCTGGCTGTATTAAGCCGACGCAAAGTGAAGGTCCGGGGGCAGCTCTACACCCAAGTCCAGATCGTCTAGAAACATGCTGAAATCCTCCAACCCCTGCTGCTGCTGCACTCCCCTCTCCTGCCCCTGGCCCTGCTGGCCCAGCTGCTGCAGCTCCTCCTGCTGGGTATGCCAGGGGGGTAGTTCCCCTTCTGGAAGGAAGAGAGTGCTGTGGGTGTTAGTGTGTGAAGGGTCTTGCTTCTGCATGGCGTTGTGAGGGAAGGGGAGAGGGAGAGGCACAAGGGAATAGTTTGAGTGTGAGAGCGTGTGTGCATGCGTCTGCGTGCAAGCGTGTGTGCAGGTGGGGACAGGCTGGGGGGGTTGCGAGGGTGAGTGTGGGGGGGGGCGAGGGTGAGAGTGAAGGGGCACAGGGTGAGTGTGGAGTGGTGCGAGGGTGAGTGTGGAGGGATGCAAGGGTGAGTGTGGAGGGATGCATGTGAGTGAGCATGTCGTGTGCGCATGGTAGGCAAAGGAAGAAAAAATCCATGAGAAGCGCTCACCTCAAAAGCACCACTGGAGAGAGCCGGCTGGGCAGCACTAGTGACACCCTCACGAGGTGTTGGGAGTGCAGAGTCGCCCCCAGGGCCCCACATGTCAACGTCCCCCACCTCCATCATCAGCAGATCCGCCCCTCCCACCTGCACCTTTTCCCCTCCCCCTCGCCCTCCCCCCTCCCCTCCCCCTCCCCCTCCCCCTCCCCCTCCCCCTCCCCCTCCCCCTCCCCCTCCCCCTCCCCCTCCCCCTCCCCCTCCCCCTCCCCCTCCCCCTCCCCCTCCCCCTGGTCCCGACTCTCCAATTCCTGTTAGACTGGTCAATCCAAGGCCTCTGTCCCAAGCGCCGCCAGGTGTCGACCCATGATTGGTCAATGTGGGATGGGCTGCGCCCTGACTGTGAGACAGCAGACCCGGTTTTACATCAACTGTGGGTGGCAACGAGTTGCCCAAGTGATTGCCGCCCGAGTTGTGACTGCCGCCCAAATGGTTGCCGCCCAGGTGGCTGTTTATTTGAGCTCCATTTTGTCTTGTATCGAGCCCTGTGCTCCACCCTCCCATATCTTCCACCTTCCAAACCCCTCCTCTCCCACTACCACTACCTACTCGCCCATCCACCGCCCCCCCTACCCCTCTCATCCCCGCCTCATTCCCAACACCTCCAGCCAGATTCCCTCCCATTCCTCTCCCAAAACCTCTCCCCCCTCCTCCTTCTACCCCTGCTGCTGTGCCTGCACCACCAATCATTCGGTCTATACCATCCGACCCGCCACTATCGCTACCATCACTACCATCCTCCTCTTCCTCCTCGTCCTCCCCATCCTCCTCGTCCTCCCCTTCACCCAACCCTCTCTTCGAATTCAGAACCTTCCTCCTTTCAGCAACCTCAACCTTCAGCCGATCAAGCAGGGCTTTCCGAGCCTGCGCCGAGCCTGCTGCCATTTCGTTCAGCTTCCGCTGCAGCAGCGCCTGAACCTGCTTCTCAGCTTCGGACGGATCGCTAACCTTCAAAGGCCGCTTTACCCCTCCTGCTGCCCCTACCGCTGCTGCTCCTCCTGCTCCTGCCGCTGCCATTCCTGCTGCTACCGGTGCCGCCACACCAGCAGCCACACCGACAGCAGCAGCAGCCCTACCAGAAACATCAGCAGTAGCGGCAGCACCAGCGGCAGACCTAACAGATATATCAGCAGCAGCGGCAGAACCACCCATGCCCCCAGCCCTTTCATCAGCAGAACCTTCCCCAGCAGAGCCTGCCTCAGCTGAATCCAGCTCCATTCTAAGCCGCGCCGCCAGAGCTGCTGCCCCCGCCTGCTTCCCCAGCAACTTGATTATCCCATCCAGTCCCCCCCCTGCTGCCCCTCCTCCTGCCCTTCCCCCAATTCCACCCCCCCCCCCTCCGCCACCTCCTCCTCCCCCACCACCACCATTACTGTTTCCAGCTACCCCTGCTCCTTCCCTAACTGTCCCCTCTGTAGCTCCAGACCCACCCACACCAGTTCTACCTACCCCGGTTTTACCTCCCCCAGAAGAACCCAACTGAGATTCTTTCTGAGCCCTCTTGGTGATCTGAGTGGCCAGCACATGCACCTCAGGAGCCGTTAGATCGCCACCGGCCATCATCTGCCCTAGGATCGCCAGTGCCATAGCCTCCTTTGAAGGTGCAGGAGCAGGCTCGGAAGCATCTTCCAAGCCTCCTGCTGCCGACGAACTGGGCTGACTGGGCTGACCGAAGCTAGCTGCGTTACCGAAGCTAGCTGACTTGTCGAGGCTGGATGTCTTGCCGAGGCTGGATGTCTTGCCGAGGCTGGTTGAAGCACCCGCCGTAGCTGCACTCGCTGCCGGACCTCCAGACATGGAAACAGCGGCGGATGAAGGCTCCGCCCGCCGAGCCATCACTCCCGGTCCCGGACCTAAGGACGAGCTTCGGTTAAGTGGGGTGCCAAGCCTGCTTCCAGGCCCGCGAATGAGACTCGGAGTTGGATCCCCCAAGCCTGGTGGTGCAAATACAGCAGGGGAAGCAGACGCAGTACTAGCAGCACCACCGCCAGCAGCAGCAAGACCAGCAGCAGCAGCAGCCGCAGCACCACCACCGCCAGCACCAGCACCAGCAGCGGCAGCAGCAGCAGCAGCAGCAGCGCTAGGGGACCTAGCATCGAGATCAAAGTCAGGAAATGACTCACGACTGAGCCTCCTGTGGAGCTCTGGTGTTGCACGCCTCTTCCTCAGTGGGCCCTGCTGTGCCAACGACCCCCCACTCCCTCCCCCTCCCCCTCCCCCTCCCCCTCCCCCTCCCCCTCCCGCACCCCCAAGCACACCCAGTGTAGGAGACTGTATCGAAGGTGACCTTATTGAAGGAGATAGTAACGCAGGGGATAAAATCGCATCTAGCCTATCCCCAGCACTCGTGACCTCCATGGGCGCCCGTGGGGAATTCACCGCTTTGGACCCACTCCCACCGGGCGAAACCAGTCCGCCAGCAGTCCCAGCAGCAGACGCACCAGCAGAACCACCAGCCGCGCCAGAGGGAGCACCTAAGAATTCACCAGAGGAGCCTCGGCTCATGGCAGAGCGGGAGAGCTTGACAGCAGCGGCCAGCGAGGGATCGTTGAACTCGGCTTGCCTCGCCAGCTTCCGAAACTGCTCCTCTGCCCGCCTTCTCTCCTCCTCCGACGTCGAAAACGTTGCAAACGCCGCCCCAAGATTTTGTTTTTGTGTCGAGTCGAAGGGAGCAAAGGCGGCTTCTAGACTCTGCAGCCCGCCTGACCCAAAGCTGCCTTGCCTTCTGGTTGGTGCTGCTTGCGCTGACCCTGTTGCTCCTGGCGCTCCTCGTTCTTCCTCACTGGCAGCACCAGCGCCAATTTCCCCTCCTGTTGCACCCTGTCCCTGCCCATCCGCCCCTCCTGACCTCTCCCTTGAAACCCTCGCACCACCACCAGCAGCAGCACCAGCAGCAGCACCAGCAGCACCAGCACCGCTGGCAGACGCACCAGCACCAGCCATCCCGTCCCCGGAACTCCCCTCTCTCGCACTGCCCCCTCGCCATCGTACCGACTCGGCCGCACCGCTCCCCCCACTCAGCCCAGCACAGTCCATCTCCTCCGCCCCACCACTATCCTCCTCAAGAGGCCGTTTCAAGCTGCCACTGCCGCCACCCCCACACAACCTCTCCCTTGCGCCTCCCCCACCTCCACCCCCCCCAGCACCAGCACCACCCGCTCCCCCCCCACTCTCTCCCCCGCTTCCCCAGCTCATGCGGGAGCGGGGAGAGGAGGCCGCACTAGTGGTGGTGTTGGTGTTCGTGTTGGTATTTGTGTTGGTGGTGGTGGTATTGATGTTGGTGTTGGTGGTGGTGTGGGTGGGGCTGCTGCTGCTGTGGTGGGGGCGGGGTGAGCCATAGGGGGAAGGACCAAAGGGAGAGGCGGAGGAGCCACGAGATGCTTGGATTCGAAGGCTCTGCTGCTCTGGCCGCTGCTGCTGCTGCTGCTGCTGATGCTGCTGCTGTTGCATCCGCACGGGCCCTCCTGCCGATGTGGAGCGAACAATATCAGATTGCATCATTTCACTCTGCTTCAACTCTCCCCCTCCTCCCCACCCTCCCCCTCCCCCGCCGCCTGCTCCCTCCCCTGCTGCTCCTCCCCCTGCCCCTCCTCCCCTCGTCAAGACGGCTAGAACATCGGCTGCTGACAGAGAATGCGAGCGCCCGCCAGGTGTCAGCCTGCGATTGGCTGGCAACTGAGAGCCAGCCATTGGTGCGGCAGCAGCAGCCCCGGGAGCAGCAGCTCCGGAAGCAGCAGGCGGAATAGCAGGTACGGTTGCCGAACCTGACGGGGAGCCCAGGATGGACAGCTTCGCCAAGGCTCGCTGCGTGGTCCGGTTGGGAGAATCAGATCTAGGCGGATCAAATCTAAGAGGTCCCAGTCTAGAATTCTGGCTTAATCTAGACGAAGGGGGTTGGGCGGCGGAGGGGGGATGGCGGAAGGAGGGATGGGGGGAGGAGGCGATGGAATGAGAAGGAGAGGCGGAGGGAGCATGGGAGGATGGGGAGGAGGGATGGGGGGGGATGGGGAGGTGGGAGGGGGGCATGGGGAGGGGCTTGGCAATGCTTGCGGGTGTGGTGGAAGTTTCTGGGATGAAATCCGGGAGGAAGACTCCTGGAATCTTCTGCAGCTGCTCGAATTTCTCTTTGAGGCCCTGTGAAATGCTCGGGTCCTCCTTGATCTGTTTGGGGATAGAGAGTGGGGAGGGGGATGGGAGGGGAGGGAGGGAAGAAGTTGGAGAGTCTAATTTCTGAGTCAAGTAATAGCATGTTGATATGTGAGAGTTACGAGCGGAGGAATTGACATAGCCCTGTGTCAACTATTGGGACGTACGTACCACCAGTACCGGGAGTGGTGTGATTGAGCTTATGCAAAAACGCACCACATCACACCATGCCAAACCACACCACACCACACCACACCACACCACACCACACCACACCATACCACACCACAGGACGTACCAGGAGCACAGAGCCAAGCTGAACAGCCCCACCAGGGACTGGGATTATAGCAATGGTCTGCAGGTGGGGTGTATAGCACCCGTGGAGATGGAGCACACGTGGAGAAGGAGCACACGTGGAGAAGGAGCAGAGAGAGATTTAGAGAGAGTGAGAGGAAGAGAGGCGCTGTGTGATGCAAGAGAGTGAGTGGTACGAGGGCATGAGATATGAGAGAGCAAGGAAAAGGATACAACATATGTGAGGGGGAACAGGCAGGAAGACAGGCGACTGACCTTGATGCCAGAAGCAAAGTGCTCCGCCCAACCAGGTGGATGCTGCATGGGGGAGAGACGGGGGGGAAATGGGAAGATGGGCGAGGAAGAGAGAGAAAGAGAGTGTATCAGCGTGGTACTTGGCATGGCTGTACACTGTCTCTGCGGCGTGGTATTTGTTGCCTCTGCGGCGCACACTGTCACACTCGTACACTCGCACACTCGCACTCTCACGCTCGCACACTCTCACACTCGCACACTCTCACACTCGCACACTCTCACACACATTCACAATCACGCAGTCACTCACTACACACTCACACACACCTGGCTCTGCACGGAGTTGAGAGTATCAGCGTGGTACTTGGCATGGCTAGACACCCACTCTGCTGCCTCTGATTCCACACTCATTCATACTCGCACACAAGACGCACTTGCTCACTCCCTCACACCCATACTCACGCCCTCACACCCTCACACACACACACACCTGGCTCTGCACGGAGTTGAGAGTATCAGCGTGGTAGTTGGCGTGGCTATACACCCACTCTGCTGCCTCCGATGCCACACTCACGCCCACCAGCCTGGGGGAGACAGGTGGAACGTGTGGGAGAATGTATAAAGAGGAGAGTGAGGGAAGGGAACAAAGGGCGATGAGGGGAATGAGGGAAAGGGAGAAAGGAAGAACGTCAGAAACCCTAATTCTCCCACAAGATGAAGATGAGTGCCACTCTTGCAGCACACCAAGTCTGAATGACTTCCCTGCCAAGCTCACTCGGCTCGGCTCCAAACGGAACGTCAGAAACCCTAATTCGCTACAAGCACGGCCCCTGACCTTCCAAGTAGCACGGCGTGCTAGGGCCAGGACCGCAGAGGAGCTCATGAGAGAGCAGCAGGAACGTCGGAGGGCAGAGACTGCAGATAGGCTGAGGGCGGAAGAAGCTGCATTGATTCGTAGAGAGGAGGAGGCTTTGCGAGCAAGACAGGAGAGGGCGAGGGAGGATGTGGAAAGGGCCTTGGACGAGGAGGATCTACTTCGTAGAGAGGAGGAACTCAACAGGGTTGAGGCGAGGCTCGAGGCAGAGGCGATACAACTCAGCGCGAAGGAGGCGCCCATCGTTACGACGGACGCGCCTTGACCGACAGAGGTTCCACGGCAGATGGCAGAACTTGAAATGGGTGTCGAGAGTGTTACTACATCGACAGTGCATGGGAGGGTCGGCGGGGAAGAAGAACACGATCGAGGGGAAGAGAGTGGAGCTGCAGAGCTTGAGGAGATGCGCCGCAGATGGGTGGATGAATTGGAGTCTCGCCAACGACGCGATGAGGTAGCCAGGATGAGAGCCGCCGAAGAGCAGGCGCGTATAGAACATGAACGGAGGTTGGCAGAAGCTGTCGAGCTGCTTCGGGTGCGACGAGAACGCAGTAGGGCAGATGGGGAGCGGGAGAGGATACGGGCTGCAGAGATGGCGAGGGTAGAGGCAGAGGCTTTGCGCCAAATACTGGCGGGATGCTTCCAGTCGTACCAGAGCTCCTCCGCACGAACGCTAACACTCTTTATTCCCCACATCCACAGCCACCGACACCCAACATTCCCCTGCTAGCTGCCTTACCCTTGGCCGTGGTTACATATCTGGTCCGGGAGCTTCAACTACGTGGCGTGCAGTACTCAAAACCCGAGTTGACTTTTGAGTCGACTCAAAAGTCTACCCTTGGCCGTGGTTATATACTGGTCCGAGGGCTTCAACTACGTGGCTGTGCAGTGCTCAAAACCCGAGTTGACTTTTGAGTCGACTCAAAAGTCTACCCTTGGCCGTGGTTATATACTGGTCCGAGGGCTTCAACTACGTGGCTGTGCAGTGCTCAAAACCCGAGTTGACTTTTGAGTCGACTCAAAAGTCTACCCTTGGCCGTGGTTATATACTGGTCCGAGGGCTTCAACTACGTGGCTGTGCAGTGCTCAAAACCCGAGTTGACTTTTGAGTCGACTCAAAAGTCTACCCTTGGCCGTGGTTATATACTGGTCCGAGGGCTTCAACTACATGGCTGTGCAGTGCTCAAAACCCGAGTTGACTTTTGAGTCGACTCAAAAGTCTACCCTTGGCCGTGGTTATATACTGGTCCGAGGGCTTCAACTACGTGGCTGTGCAGTGCTCAAAACCCGAGTTGACTTTTGAGTCGACTCAAAAGTCTACCCTTGGCCGTGGTTATATACTGGTCCGAGGGCTTCAACTACGTGGCTGTGCAGTGCTCAAAACCCGAGTTGACTTTTGAGTCGACTCAAAAGTCTACCCTTGGCCGTGGTTATATACTGGTCCGAGGGCTTCAACTACGTGGCTGTGCAGTGCTCAAAACCCGAGTTGACTTTTGAGTCGACTCAAAAGTCTACCCTTGGCCGTGGTTATATACTGGTCCGAGGGCTTCAACTACGTGGCGTGCAGTGCTCAAAACCCGAGTTGACTTTTGAGTCGACTCAAAAGTCTACCCTTGGCCGTGGTTATATATCTGTTCCGAGGGCTTCAACTACGTGGCGTGCAGTGCTCAAAACCGAGTTGACTTTTGAGTCGACTCAAAAGTCTACCCTTGGCCGTGGTTATATACTGGTCCGAGGGCTTCAACTACGTGGCGTGCAGTGCTCAAAACCCGAGTTGACTTTTGAGTCGACTCAAAAGTCTACCCTTGGCCATGGTTATATATCTGGTCCGAGGGCTTCAACTACGTGGCTGTGCAGTGCTCAAAACCCGAGTTGACTTTTGAGTCGACTCAAAAGTCTACCCTTGGCCGTGGTTATATACTGGTCCGAGGGCTTCAACTACGTGGCGTGCAGTGCTCAAAACCCGAGTTGACTTTTGAGTCGACTCAAAAGTCTACCCTTGGCCGTGGTTATATATCTGTTCCGAGGGCTTCAACTACGTGGCGTGCAGTGCTCAAAACCGAGTTGACTTTTGAGTCGACTCAAAAGTCTACCCTTGGCCGTGGTTATATACTGGTCCGAGGGCTTCAACTACGTGGCGTGCAGTGCTCAAAACCCGAGTTGACTTTTGAGTCGACTCAAAAGTCTACCCTTGGCCATGGTTATATATCTGGTCCGAGGGCTTCAACTACGTGGCGTGCAGTGCTCAAAACCCGAGTTGACTTTTGAGTCGACTCAAAAGTCTACCCTTGGCCGTGGTTATATACTGGTCCGAGGGCTTCAACTACGTGGCGTGCAGTGCTCAAAACCCGAGTTGACTTTTGAGTCGACTCAAAAGTCTACCCTTGGCCGTGGTTATATACTGGTCCGAGGGCTTCAACTACGTGGCGTGCAGTGCTCAAAACCCCTTCCTCCCCTACCACCCAAGCCCCCAACCCAAACCACAACCCCCTCCCCTTCCAATCCAAGCAAGCATACCCTTCGCCGTAGTTATAGATCTGATACGAGAACTTGAGATACGTGGCGTGCAGCTGCTTCCAGTCGTAACAGAGCTCGTCTAAAGCGGGTACAGCGTCTGCCTGGCGGCTGCTGCTGCCACCCCCTCCCCCGCTAGAAGACGAACTGCGCAACCGTGCCATCTGATCCTCCAGCTTCTTCAGCACGGCATGGGGGACGAGGTACCCGTCCTCCCACATGAGCACCCTGTGGAGGGAAAGGGATGAGGGGGATGGAAGGGAGAGACACGGGTGTGAAGGGGGGAGGTAAGCCAGCGTGTCAGCTGGTCTTCCAGCTTCTGAAGGAAAGACCGCGTGGGGGACCAGGTACCCATCCTCCCACACTAGCACCCTGAGGATGGCGAGGGGGACGGGAACGGGAGACATGGGAGGGGGACGCATGGAATGGGGAGACATGGGAGGGGGACGCATGGAATGGGGAGACATGGGAGGGGGACGCATGGAATGGGGAGACATGGGTGGGAGGAAGGGGGGAGGTAAGCCAACGTGCCACCTAATCGTCCAGCTTCTTGAGCTGCTGAATCCGAAGTCGACGCAAAATACCCTGTTTGCGGCCTTCACATGTCTGCGAGATGAAGCGAGACGTAACAAGAGATGTTTGAAAATGTGGGGAAAAGTAACAGGCAGGCAGGGCGTTTGGCATTTCAGGCGCCTCAATGAGAGACGCGAAACAGTCAGGGCTTCGGTTTCAGTTACTTAGGCTTTCGAGGTGCCTCAATGGTCGTCGTTCAGTGATTTGTTCATATCAGAAAAGGAGGGAGAGGAGGAGGAGAAGAGGGCTTACCAGTTATCGTCGTCCTCGCGTTTCATCATTCGGTTTCCCCTTATCGGTACATTTCTGCGCGATCGAATGAAAAGCAGAACACAAGCGAAACGAACAAGGAAATAAACGATTAGTTCAGGCTTCACGGCGCGAAGGACGCGATGCGAGTAACGACGCGCTGCGAGAAATGTAACGGCAAACTACGCTATATTGTCTGCATTGAATCCGCACGCAGCGAGTGCTCAACTCTTCGCCATCCCAATTCGACAAACATGAATTTTATAACAACGCATAGATAAACTGGAATTTGCAGGGTTACGTTTGCGACGTTCGCGGAACCGCGCGACGCTTCAGTCTCCAGAAGACGGAGTACGTCCATCCGTTCTGCAGGCACAGGTCTTTGAGCACCTGTCGCAGCAGGTACATCGGCCTCTGCGCTAGCACGGCGCTCGGAACCTGCCTAGGGTTTGTCGCCATTGCTGCGTTGTCGTCAAACCCTAGGTGCTATAAATAAGTTAAATAACAATGGAAAGTACAACCAGCTCAAATAGCTCATCTACAGCAGAACAACCCTAAATGTACACCTGTTGCGTGGGAGCGCCATCGTAGGAAAACGATTCTAGGGAAAAGCTCCCGATACGTTTTAAACTTCTGACATACAGCTAACCGAGAAGCCCAAGAATCTCGGAACCCGGGAACCGAGGAGGAGCCTAGGAAGGAGGTGTCAGATCAACTTCAGAAGCTTTCGAGCTATGGCGTATGGCACACTGTTCTACCAAGGTAAAACGGATCGTGTCGTGATAGGGAGGGGAGGATGAGGGAAAGGGAACTGATCGACGAACTCGAAAGTCCACTTTGCGAATTCACGAACTTTTTTCGCGCAAACCAGAAGCCCTCTTTGATGTGGGAGGTTCTTGCTGATCTTGTGCATTTTCCCTCGGTCCATGGGTTTTTGCACAGTACTGACCGAAACAGAGATCGTCTCTGTGTGGCTGGGACTGCTTGAAGCCTAGGCGAACAATTGCGTTACTGGTCTGGTAACAGATCGTCAACGGAAGCACGCCTGGGTGTTCTCGCAATTGACCTCCCTCGACTTTTGGTCAATCCTACTGTGATCTGGCGATTTTGATGGCAGCGGCGACTTGTGGTGGCTCCAGGGGGGCATTCAGGCCAGCTCAATCTTTTCATGGGCTGGCAAGCAAACTGTTGCTAGTCGACAGGGGCGGTTGGCGTTTAGGTAAGCTGCTTCGGCGTCCGTTGGTGTTTAGGAGATGTCCTACAGGCGAAATAGATTTCCTTGGACCTGAGGAGACGACCAATGTGATGTGCAGCAAAGTTAGCTGAGGAAATGAAACCCTCTGGTTAGCACGTGGGCCCGGGCCACAAATAATGGAGTTCAACCGAACATGCTGGACGGCCCCTTATTGCCTGGACGTGTAAGCTACACAAGATTTGCTTTTGGAACATTGGAATATCCACTTAATTTTCACTTAATTTACTTCGTTACTACCACTCCCACAATGGACTTGCAACAGTCAGCTGCAACTTAGTTTACCAGCATTACATCTAGATTTTGAAGACCATATCTAAGTAAGTATATTAATCAATTAAAATCAACTAGAGAAGAAACAGCATCACAAACCTTCTACAACTATCTAGTAATGACAATATCATCGATTTTGAGAATCATTCTGACGCACTCCGCAGCAAGAGAAATGGCGCTGGTGCTCACGAGCAGCGGCTGCACCACATTCTCCTCAAACATGTTGCTGATCGCTCCCTTGCGCACATTGATGCCTGCACTAACCTGTGACAGGGTTCCAGAGATGCAGAGATTGACAAACAGACGCACGGTGTCCATTAAACTAAGTTGTTTTATCGGGGTATGCTTCCCAAGAGGGAGGGGGACGATGGAGATGGGGTTCAGATTATTCAGTCGAATCAACTCCCTTTCGCTCCCTTCCATTACCCCCCCACCCCAACCCGCTTTGCTCTGGGAGCTGAGAGTCTCACCTCCCCCTCGGCATGCTTGTTGCGCAGCTCAGTGACGATGGAGATGGGGTTCAGCCCTGCATTCTCTGCTAGCGTGTACGGCACAACCTGTTGAAAAAAGAGCAGAGCACAAGGGCAGCACGAGGGAAGGAGGGGAATGAGGGGAAGGAGGGGAAGGAGGGGAAGGAGGGGCAGGGGGAAAAGAAGGGAATAGAGCAATGGAGTGAAGTTTATATGGCACAATTTGACCTCTCCATTTCCAACCACTTCCCTCTCCCATTCTCCTCCCCCTGGGCATCTTCTTCCACTACCTTGCGCACAACAGTCAGAGGCTAGCAGTCAGCGGATGACTGTCAACGGCTACCAGTCGATAATTTGCATCAAGCAATCCGCAGTAAACTCACCTCCAGGGCCTGTGCAAACGCACGCGCACAGTAGCTCTCCTTGCCATCCAGCTTCTTGTAAACGGCTAGCAGGCAACAGTTAGCGATTAGCAGTCAACGATTCACAGGCAGCACTCAGCAGTCAACGCACCTTCAGCGCCTGGGCGAACGCCCTTGCACAGTAGCTCTCCTTGCCCTCCAGCTGCTTGCTCTAGTGCACGTGCAGTAGCATGCATAAGACTAGGGGTCAACCACAGTTGCAATCAGCAGTCAACGCACCTCCAGCGTCTGGGCGAACGCTCTCGCACAATAGCTCTCCTTGCCCTCCAGCAGCTTGCTCCACGACGCCAGCTGCCTGCTGACCTCTATCTCCACCGCCCCACTGCCTCACCCTCCCCCCCAACCCATGCAACAACAGCACAGTCAACCGATGCACATACCTCGAGAGCCTGGGCGAACGCCCTTGCACAGTAGCTCTCCTTGCCCTCCAGCTGCTTGCTCCACGCCGCCAGCTGCCGGCTGACCTCTATCTCCGGAGCACCTCCCCCAGCAATGAGGAAGCGCTTGTTGACGAGGCAGCGCACGACACAGAGCGCGTCATGCAGGCTGCGCTCCGCCTCCTCCAGCACGAGGTTGTTGGATCCACGCACCACCACGCTCATGGTTCGCCCCATGTCCTTGATGCCTGTGATCTTAACCACCTGGTAATGAGGAGGAGGAGGGATGGGGAGGAGGGGGGAAGGGGACGGGGATGGGAAAGGGAAAGGGGAAGGGGAAGGGCAAGGGGAGGGGCAAGGGGAGGGGGATGGCAATGCGGATGGGGATGGGGATGGAGAATTGAACGGCGATCACCCCGAATCAGGCACTCACCCGGCCTTCCCCCACAATCTTAAGAGCAGCGGTGCCACACAAGACAAGCACTCACCCGGCCCTCCCCAACAGGAAACCTCCTCCACCAGATCCGCCTGCCCGAGCTTCTCCGCGCGGAAGTGCTCAGGATTGGCAATGGGGGAGGCAGCTGAGCGTGCGGCTGATGAACTCGATGTCGTCCCGCTCCACGTCCTTCACCACCAGGATCTTGGCCTTGGCCAGGTAGTGCAGCGCAACCCAGGCGGTACAGCGCAGCCCAGGTAGTGCAGTGCATGTGCATGTGCAATCACACACGTCTCTCCGCCACTCCCCAACCAAAGAGACACGTCCTTCACCACCAGGATCTTGGCCTTGGCCAGGTAGTGCAGCGCAACCCAGGTAGTGCAACCACACACACACACACCCTCAATCACATGCCACCCAAAGGGGAGCAGTGCAAGACAGGACAGGCACTCACCTGGCCCTCCCCCACAGGCACTTCCTCCACCAGATCTGCATAACCAAGCTTCTCCACGCGGAAGTGCTCCGGATTGGCGATGGGGAGGCAGTTGAGCGTGCGGCTGATGAACTCGATGTCGTCCCGCTCCACGTCCTTCACCACCAGGATCTTGGCCTTGGCCAGGTAGTGCAGCGACAGGTCGGTGACAGCATCTCGCAGGATGGACTTCTGAATGAGGAGGACGTTGCAGCCGGTGGCTCGGATCTTCTTGATGATATTCAGGATGTAGTTGCGCTCCTCCTTGAGAATACGGTCCATCTGGCATGGGAGAGAAGGGAGATCAGGAAGCAAAGGGAGCAGAGGGAGCAGAGGGAGCAGAGGGAGCAGAGGGAGCAGAGGGAGGCATGACACAGGAGAAACGCAAGAAGAAGCACATTGCAGCCAATGGCACTCTTGAGATGGAGATTTGCAGCTCAAACGGATCTCTGCTAAACTCTTGAGGATGCCGTTGCACTCCTCTTGAGGATAATGTCCATCTGGCGCTGGAGCAGGGGCAACAGGGAAAGAAGGCGAACACAGGCACAACAGGGAAAACAGAGAGCACGGGCAGAACAGGGAACGGCCGAATCCTGGATGAGCAGTACGTGGAGCAGAATCTCACATGGGCGGCAACTCAACCAGGCGGCAGCTCACCTGGGTGTAGTCCGAGACGACCACGGACTGCTCCATGTCGGTTTTGGGCGGCGAGATCTGGAACTGGATGAGTCCAATCTTGGCCTTCTCCACCCTCGACGGCCCGCCCGCCGCGTGGCTTGCCTTGCGGTCGAACACCAGCCCGCGCACCATCTCTGTGTCGTCCACCTGAGCCAAGGCGGAACGGGGTGGGTGGGTTGAGATCGACTTGGAGATTTGGACCTGGATGAGTACGATCTTGGCCTTCTCCACCCTTGACGTCCCGCCTGCTGCGTGGCTCGCCTTGCGGTCGAACACCAGCCCGCGCACCATCTCTGTGTCGTCCACCTGCGGGTGAGGGGAGGGACGGGGGAGAGGCAGGGGGACGGGGGAGAGGCAGGGGGGCAGGTGAATCGAGGTGGGAGAAGCTTGCCTTGCTGTCAAACACCAGCCCGCGCACCATCTCTGGGTCGTCCACCTAAAGGTGGGGGAAAAGTGCAGAAGAAGGGGGTGGGGGGTGGGAAAGAAGGTGCGTTAACAATCATGACAATTCTATTTAGATGGCCTCTTTTCAGGCTCCACGAAACAACTGTGCAGTGAACCTGTGGGGTGCGGCTGTGCCGCCCAACACGCACTGTGCCGCCCAGCACTCACTGTGCCGCCCAGCACTCACCGTGCCGCCCAGCTTCTTGAGCACTTTGATGTCGCGAAGATCGACCACATCTGGACGGCTGGGATCCATCACCTGCCACGTCAGCCAGAAATTGATCACACGGAGGGGTAGGTACATCGGAATCCTGATTTCCTGATCCATCAGCAAGCACACCTTGATAAGGGCTTGCGAGGAGCTGATTAGCAATGGCACGTGCGTTGCTGAATGCAATGGATAGAAGAAACACAGAAAAGGAGAGGCCTTGGAAAAATAATAATAATAATAATAAAAATCATCCTTTGCAGGTCATTACTGAGAAATCTCAAAAGAGACAACAGGGTGGTGGTCTTGTGGCTCACCTGCAGAACACAGTCAACTGCTAGCGGGGCAAGCAGCGACGAGTACTGACTGACGACCTGCGACAGGTCAATACAACAGGTGAGGGAAACCGGGCCGGGGGACGGTGAGAAGACAGGTCAAGATGCAGGCTAAACGGGACAGTGTCTGAGAAAAAGGTCCGAGGATGAGCTCTGAAAAAACACTGGACAGGTATTTGTGGGCGTGAAAAAGCATTGGACAGGTTTTTGTGGGCGTGAAAAAACACTGGACAGGTTTTTGTGGACGTGAAAAAACACTGGACAGGTTTTTGTGGGCGTGAAAAAACACTGGAAACGAGATGGCCAAGTGGTAAGGCGTCACACCTTGTGGCTGAAAGGTGATGGGAGACGAGCCATGTGCACTGCAATATTGCACCACACCACACCACACCATACCGCACCACACCGCATCGCACCACGGCACACTGCGCTGCACCACACCATAACATGCCGTACCTTGCTGTTGAGCGACGTGCTGGCGCTCTTGATGAGCGACTCGCGGTCTGAGAGCTCCACAGGCACTGCCATGGTAGTGAGGATCTGAATAATGGGGAGGTTGTGTGTGCGTTGGGGAGGGAAGGGGAGAATCGTGTGGGGGACGGACAAGGAGGGGACTCGGGGTCTGAGAGCTCCACAGGCACTGAGAGCCAAAGCTCAGCGACATCTATCCAAAGCTCTTTCCCCTCATATGGTACCTCAGTGGCCTTGTTACCGGCCATACGCAGAGCCTGAGAGATGATAGTAGGGTAAATACTCTTTCCCCAGCAGTGACAGGAGTAATTCAAGTCAATTCAGCTGAGAAAACACATCCTTCGTACCTTGGCCTTGTTAGCAGCCTTGTGCAGAGCCTCGGAGATGATTGTAGGGAGGACGCCCTTTCCCAGCATCAGATAAGGGGTATTTTGATTTGACTCAGCTCAGCATACACTTCATACATACCTCAGCGGCCTTGTTAGCTGCCTTGTGCAGAGCTTCGGAGATGATTGTAGGGTGGATGCCCTTTCCCAGCAGCGACAGGCACTCCTTTAGCAGCGCGCCCGCCACCACCACCACTGCACCACATAGAGTGGGGGAATGGGGGAAGGGGGGAAAGCAGGAAAAGGAGGAAGTGGGGATGTGGGGGAACGGGGGGAGGGAGACACATAGCGCACAGACTAGTGATTGCTGAGTTGTTGAGGCAAGGAAATTCCACAAAAAAAGGCACAGAAAGAAAAATTAGGTAAAATTGACGCACTCATGAACAGAGAAAAGGAATCCGCGACAAGAACGTATGTTAATGCGCTGAGCATTTAATCAAGGCGCAGGATTCAAATCCTCCAAACTGAAAGCTTCCCCAACACCCATAACCCTGAATCCCGATACAGAGAAACCGCTGCTTGTTCCCTGACAATCTCAGATTCGAAAGCTCGTATCTCGAACAAAATCATCGGAATACAAAAACCAAACTTCGGATCCCGAATTCCAAATCCCAAATTCCAAATTCCGAATCTCGGATCCTGCGACGGACCTGTAGTGGTGCCGTCGCCTGCAACGATGTCCTGCGACTTGGACAGCTCCACGAGCATCTTCGCCGCTGGCTGTGTCACCTCCATCTAAACCGGGATACGCGTTACAAGGAAAAACGATAACAAGAAGTCAGTGAATAGACTGGAATAGCTCTAAAAGGGAGATTGGGGAACAGTTACACGGAAAATCACGACGCTAGAGAGAAAGGTGGGGAAAAGAACCCTGTTTAAAAAAACTGCAAAAAAAAAAGGACAAATCGCAGCCGATATGGCCGCTAGCTGGGAATGGCTCCGGTCTGGTCCGAAAGGAAACTGCGAACCAGGCGCGCATCAGCAATCGCAAGCGCCTATAAGCCCACTAACGGGATGCAGATAACGTGAAACTGCGAGTCGTCGGGGTGAAACCTACCTTGAAGCGCACACAGCACAGCAGCAGGCCGAATTCACTGAAATTTCTACCCCCTCTTCCACATTCACTGACACTCGCATCGCCAGGACCCCGGATCTCCGCAACAACTGACCAGTTTCCTCCAGATCCGCCACAGCGTCCATCTCCACAGAATATTGCACTTTTGCACGATATTTTGTCATCCATGTGGTGACTTATTTTCGCCGAAACCCCTTCCGCAGTCGCACCTTGTTGAGAATCGTCGCGCCGTCGTTGGTGATAATGACCTCGCCGGTGGCCGTGGTGAGCATCTTATCCATCCCCCGGGGCCCAAGGCTCGTACGCACGGCATCCGCCACGGCCTTAGCCGCCATGATGTTCGCCTGACGGATGTCGTCCTTCCTGCTCGTATCCGAAAACGTCTCGCCTTTAGCTCCTTTTCCTCCCCCTCCCGCCATCGCGGGGACCGGAGCCACCTGAGCTGCCGCCATGCTAAGCCGTTCGGATCGAGGGTTTCTGAGCAGTGAAGCTGCTGAATGCCGATCTAATCGACCGATTCTCGAGCGTGGATGCCCCCGAATCAGGTCGAGAGATGACGGACGAACGGCAGATAGCACGGATCGAGCAGAACTTGCGTTGCAGTGTCATCTCTCGACAAAGTCAGCCGCGGAGGGAATGTGCGAAAGCTTTTCTGCGATCTGGGTGTTGAGGCGCGCAAGATCATTTGCTTGACACGTTACATTCCGGTTGTTCAGACATGTGAGTATCGGTGACGAGCGGTACGGAAGGAATCTGAAAACTTGTGATACGTTCCGAGAGACCCACAACAAAAGTTCAGAAGGGTGAGTAACGATGCAGAGCGGTGGAAAACATAAAAAACTTTCAAAGTTGTTTCGACCCGCTCAATTGGTTTCACTGTATTATGTGTATTCGTGAGCCACCAAGTGACAGAATCCTTCCTGCTTGAGATTATTCAGTATCCAGTATATAATAAGAGTAATACAACATGGGTTACTGTGCTTATTGGAGTCCAATTGTGGACAACATAAAGAAACAAATAATGAGCTAACAGAATAGGGAAGGCAGCTGCATCATCATTCGCAATCGCTTGAGCACAACCCCAAGTATACGAGACTAGTCAGACGAATCCATTCCAGTTCAATATCCATGGAAGCAGAGCGGATTTATCTGTCCCTTGAGATTGCACAGGGGCGGTTCCAGTGAAGTTGGTCATGGGTTGTGATGTGCTGAGGGGAGCAAGGGCGGTGGACTGCATGGCATTGAAGGACATGGAGGCTGGCATGGAGTCTGAGATGGTTGCAGGCGACGACGATGTTTCTGGGATGAAGTCTGGAAGAAAAACCCCTGGAATCTTTTGTAATTGCTCAAACTTCTCCTGAAGAAGCTTGGCCACAGAAGGATCCTCTTTGACCTGATAAATGCGAACAAAATGGGGGTCAAACACGGACCCAGTGCGCAACAAATGGCAAATGGACACAGAAACCAAACTGAGCATATTGAAGATTTCAGGCTTGAAATGGCGGGAGTGCGTACCGGAAGAACAGAACCAATTTGTACGGCTCCACCAGGAACTGGGATCACAGCGATGGTCTGCACACGAAATGGAAGGTAGCAATGAGAGGCGCTTAGGCGACCGTGACGAGAAAACGAAGCCAAAAGCGTGGGAACATCGGCTGTTGAAACGGCAAGAGGACAGCATGGACGGTGGGCGAGAGCGGGGAATAGGCACCTTAATGCCAGACGCGAAATGTTCATCCCATCCCGGTGGGTGTTGGTTCTGCACGGAGTCTAGGGCATCTGCCCTGTAGTACTTAGAATCATTGTAGACCCACTCGGCTGCCTCCGCTGACACAGCTTGCCCCATCAACCTGCAGCGAACGAATTTGGTGCATTAGTAATGATGCAACAGATAAGGAAGCTGGAATAACGAAAAATGCAGGTTAAACCAACAGAAGCCGAAGTCGCAAAAACGAAACAGAGAAGGCCACCGTCCGAAGGAACTCACCCTTCGCCATAGTTGTAGATCTGGTACGAGAACCTAAGGAAACTGGCGTGCAGCAGCTTCCAGTCATATGAGAGCTGCTCCAGCGCGGGATTCTGGGCGCTGCAGCCAGCAGCGCCGCCTACAGCTGCGTCCCTTAATCGCTCCATCTGAGCGTCAAGCTTCTTCAGCACAGCTTGCGGAACGAGATAACCGTCCTCCCACATCAGAACCCTGCTCACCAAGAGACGCGCACGGCGAAAGACATTGTGTAGAACGGAAAAGAACCGTTAGAAAAACAAGGAAAGGGTCGTCGCGAGAGGTGATGCCATGAGTCGAGGGGAGGAAGAAAAGATGTAGTTAAAAACTGAAAAACCTGACTCACCATTCGTCGTCTTCTTGCCGTTTCATGATGCGATTTCCTCTTGAAGGCACGCTGTAAAAAGGAAAAAAATCGGGGGAAAAGAAGTCACAAATTTCGCCCACACATCGGGAAACTCTAGACATTTTACGCAACCAACAACAGATGCCGTGACAAGTTTCATGTCGACAATTGCTACGGTTCTGGACGAAAACACGATAAGGTCAAAACCCTAGAACGGTTATGACCGCTGTATCCTTACCTCTGCTGTGTCCTGGGTACTGCGCGGCGTTTCAACCTCCAAAATACCGAGTACGTCCAGCCGTTTTGCAAGCAAATGTCTTTAAGAACCTGTCTTAATAGATACATCGGCTTCTGAGCTAAGACCATTCTCGAACTCTTGGCCGTGGTAGCCATTATCGGAAAACAAGAAGAATAATAGTTACTGAAAACCCTAGCTTGGAGACTGAAAACAGATCCTCGCTGCAAGTGAGGTTGGATTAGGGAGTTGTAGAAACAAACCGCGATTTCAGGACTAAGGGGTTGCTTGGAGGAGTCAATGCCCAAGGTAATTCTAACTGAACTTCCTCCTAGGCCAACGTGTTTCTCTATTGTCCGTCTTCATTGGGGGAAAACTCAGTCGCCAGGGTGTATGGTGCGGTGGCCAAACTTCTTGCTTCTCCTGAACAACAACGGAATGGAGGAAAACTGAACGGTGGCAATTGTCAACAACAAAATCTCAGAATCTTCGAAGCATGAGGTAATTGCCTGGCGTGAGGTTTTGGTTGCCTGCCAACCATCCTGTCTTGCCATGCCATCCCATCAGGCCATCCCAAGCACAGATGAGGCAGCTGCGGACTTGTGGCATCACACTGTTTCAGTTGGCTGGGAACAATCGATGTGTGGGAGGGGATGACGAGGAAACAATGAATTTGATGGATGGAGGTTTGACCCCATTTCGCAGGAAAGCTGGAGGGTGAGCAGTTCGGTTTCGGCAATCCCAACTCGATGTTGTTTTTCAACCCGTCTGGCTTGTCGCAACCCGAGGGCACACAAAGCCCCCTCTGGACGAAGCGGTGGGCCCAATTCGCGGTTCTGGTTTTTTCACCACCGAGTGGAGGCTGACAAGCTTTACATTTGGGCTTCATGAGGAATTACGACTGCATTAGAGCTTTGCAATCATTAGAGCACCACGTGAAAACAGGCCTTCCTTCGTGGCTTCGGTGTTGAAGAATGAACACCAAGCATCCCCACAAAAGATCGAGGGAACAATGAATCCTTTTTTGGGTTGCGAAGCAACCCTTTACGATCGATTTTGACAAATTTTATTTTCATGTCAAAAAAACATGAAAAAAAAATCGTAACCTACAGTTCCACCCTTCCCATTGTGCATATACTACACTCATTTTTTCTTTCTTGTAGTGGTTTTGTGCATAGATTCTATACTGTTTGCATTATATATTTGTTCTTGTTTAATGGGACAATTGCAATAGATGTTACGAATATTAGTAATGAAATACACACCATGCATGCTTAAATGAATGCAATGAGACAAGATATATAGATGCATAATACTGATACATGGATGGAAATGATTTTGTATGAGAAATGCTAAATGCGACATACCAGTATATCATTATCATACAAATGCGTGACAGTTAACAACCCAAAAACTAGGCTACCGCATCCCCTGCCTAGCATGGGGGGGAAGTCAATAGCAAAGTCTTTGAATAATCAACTAGCACATGAAACAATACAATCTGTTAACTCTAAAAAACAAGTTCACTCTATCAAATCCAGTTCGAAGTGGCAAACACACGAGTCACTGAGTGCGCCAATGAACCAATGAGAAATGATAGAAATGAACCCATTTTTTAAAATTGACAGACATGCATTGATATTGCAATGATAAATGAAAAAAATGCACACACACAAGCAAACACATTCACATATTTGGAGAAGCACGAACACCGGCAAAACCAGCAAAAAATGCGCGATAATAAATAACATGCAAATCAACGTTAAAAGGACAATATGGTAAATCCTATCAGTGACAAATGCGCTTTTCCCAGATTGAAATCGCATTTCTGACCAGCAGGCTCCTGCGAAACGAGTTCAGGAACGATACAGTAAACGAAAGAAGAGACTATAACGAAATACAGAGAGCGAGAGCGAGAGAGAGAAAGAGGACGGGTGAGAGAGGACGAGAGAGAGAGGACGAACGAGAGAGAACGAACGAAAGAGAACGAACGAGATAGAGAGGACGAACGCGAGACAACGAACGAAAGAGAACGAACGAGAGAGAGAATGAACCTAAGAGAGAGAACGAGAGAGGGAGAGAACTAGAAAGAGAGAACGAGAGAGAGAGAGAGAGAGAGAGAGAGAGAGAGAGAGAGAGAGAGAGAGAGAGAGAGAGAGAGAGAGAGAGAGAGAGAGAGAGAGAGAACGAGAGAGAGAGAGAGAGAGAGAGAGAAAGAGAGAGAGAGAGAGAGAGAGAGAGAGAGAGAGAGAGAGAGAGAGAGAGAGAGAGAGAGAGAGAGAGAGAGAGAGAGAGAGAACGAGAGAGAGAGAAAACGAACGAGAGAGAGAGAGAACAAGAGAGAGAAAGAGAGAAAGGGAACGAGAGAGAGGGAAGGAGAGAGGGAGAACGAGAGTGAGAGAACGAGCGAGAGAGAACGAAAGAGAGAGAGGGAGAACGAGAGAATGAGAACGAAAAACAGAGAACGCGAGAGAGAAAGTGAGAACGAGAGAGAGGGAACGAGAGCGAGAACGATAGAGAGAGAACGAGAGAGAGAGAGAGAGAGAGAGAGAGAGAGAGAGAGAGAGAGAGAGAGAGAGAGAGAGAGAGAGAGAGAGAGAGAGAGAATGAAGAGAGAGAACAAAAGAGAAAGAGACGAGATAGAGAGAGTGAGAGATAATTCATAACTACGGTTTTCAAAAGAGCCTAAACTGAAGAGCAAAGGTGGAAGAAAGATGTGCAAATACGAGGAAGGAATGATGCACTAAACTAATGGAAGTCATGATGAAGAACATAAGAATCAGATGCAAGATTATGTACAAAGAATATGTAAAGTATTTACAAAGCGCCAAAGAATTGAGAAAAGAAATGTGAGCATGGAATGAAACTAGAACGAAATGGATAAAGTAATTATGCGACAATTCTAGATGTTGTGAAAGTGAGACGAAAAACTGGCATTGCAGGCTCTAAAGAAAGAACGACCTGGTTGGTCGTCGAAATGGATTAAGACCAGCAGTAAAACGGCTAGTTGCTAAGTCTAAACGACTGAAACAGACGATAATGATTAAGAAGATGTATCTACTATCATCTTAAGTTTAGAACGCTCACCTAGGTAGTAGTAGCTGAGAACAGGAGTCGGGGGAATCATTGGAGTAGCTTGGAGAAGTTGAACCAGAACGAAACCAAGCAGAAAAGGATTCACGAAACCCTAGGTAGGTATGTCTTTCGTCGATAAGTTACAAAATAAATATTATTTTTTTCCCTACCTCGGTGTCGAAATTGGCGTAGTGGTGAAGGTGACATTGTCGAATCGGATGGTCTGGGGATCGATCCTTGATGCGATCGAACCTTCGAAACCAAATAGTACAGTTTTTGTAAACCTCAGCCTAGAGTTACATACTCGGTATAAGTAGTTAGGTAGTCATGCAAAACGAGATCCATAGTAATAGAAGTTGTATAACATATGTTGATAATGCAAAAAGCTTCGCAACCCTATGACGACGTCGTCGCCTCTTGTTTTTTTTTTTTGGTGGATATAGGTACACAATCAGCATACATACCTCCGCAGTCGTAACTGTTGCTAGGAGGGCAGGGAGAGGTTACAAGCATCCTAGTAACCAGAGCCCCCCTTATCCCTTTACGGAGGCTGGAACGCTACACCGCTATCTTCCCAGATCTTCTTGAAACCAACTCTCCACGTCATCGAGGCCTCTGTCTCGTAGAGCCTACACATAGCACTTGCCTCGTCAGCATTCAAGTGGTTCCAGTCACCCGTCCTTTTCGAAGCAATCCTGCCAGCCGATTTCTTCCGCGCTCTGTTGTAGACCTTCACGTGCCTCGTGAAGCCAACTGCCATGCGCCTCAAAGCTCTCTTTGGCTGGAAACGGCTCCCTCGGAAAACCGCGTTGCACCTTTCCAGCCAAACTTGGTGCGCTGTGATGGATATGATTGCTGCCTCAGGAAAGCCAGTCGATGTGCCACTCTTTTGGAAGAGCATGTCCCCGAGCGAACGCATGTCCCTGCCCGGATTCATACACCGAACCACATTCTTCATCACCTCCACCACAGGTTGGATCACCGGGCAGCTGAAAAGACAGTGATCCTGCGATTCCTCTCCGCCACAGTGCGTGCATTTCGCCCTCGCGCCCAAGAGAGGGAGCCGCTCTCCCACCTGGAGGTTGTTACTGTGCACCCTCAGTATCACCTCCCGTGCTCTGCATGGGGTTGCCAGCGAGTCACGGACCGTGATGGCCTTCCCCCAATCGATCTTCCTCCCCATCTCCTCTTCCCACTTCAGCTGCTGCTTCGGCTGCGTCACTGAGGGTTTCATCGCCTTCCTCAACTTCTTTAGATCAGCCCGCTCGCCTCTCTCACAGATTGTGGAACAGAGCAGTCGCGTTCTCGGAGCGCCGAGTAGGCCGCGAGCCCTCCCATCGATGACTGCCATGGGTGAAACGCGCCGGAAATCCACTGTTACCACGCTAGCATATTCCACCTCGCCTATGTTCCCTTTCTTGTCCACCGTCACTCTCCGACCGTAAAGTTCGCCATTGCTCACATACTGCAGCTGGTAGTAAAAGAACTCTCCTGGGCGGTAAGACGAAGAGCGGACCAGCCTCGATTCCCTGAAAACCTCCTCCGCCGACAGTTGCTTGAGTACCAGATCCTTCCAACTCTGTGGTGTCGCATCCCACGCCTTCAGGGCCCACTTCCTCTGCTCCACCCCTCCCAGTTCCCTCTCCAAAACCTCCTCGCTCTTACGAGATCTGCTGCCATCCCCTCCCATCACCACCAGATCCCCCAGACGGACGTCCTTCAGACAGAGCGAGCCCGCCTGATTACCGAAAGGTGATCTGCCCCTGAAGAAGATATTTCGATTGAACAATAACTGCTCCCCCTCCGCGTCCCACCTGTGAGCTGAGTCCCCTATGACCACCAGTTTCGAGTCCCACAGCGTTTTAATAGTGGCTTTCCACCTCGTGCCACCCCCCAGCCAGGTCTTCAGGATCGAAGGATGCGCGTAAACCGTGGCCAAGCCGAGGGGAAAAGCTGCCGCCCTCTCCCACAACCAGTTCCGAAGTGGCTCTTGCTCCGCCAGGGCTTTCCCCAGACCTTGGATCACCATGCTGTCAATCCGGTGCCTCAAGTCAATCACTCCCAGGCCCCCCTCTTTCCGTTCTCTGCAGGACAGTTCGTAGCTCCATAGTGTGAAGTGTTTGTCGAGGAGCGCCTTCCCTCCCGAGATGAAATTGTGGCACAGCCTCTTCACTTTGGTCCATACATCGTACGGTGGGGCGTAAATCTGCGCCTGGAAGAGCAGGATCGGCATCACATAACAGTTTATGATTGTAACTCGCGCTGATGTTTTGAGGTGCTTGCTCTCCCAGCAGCTCAGCACCGCGCTAACTTTTTCAAAGGCCTTGTCCCAGGTCCCGGCGAGCCACCAGAGGTGATCCAGATTCCGAGCAGCCTTTCAGACGCGTTCTTCTCCGCCCACTTGAAGGACGACGTTATCGGCTGCAGCCTCCTTAGGTTTTTACCGAGCGGCATCAGTGTCGTCTTATCCCGGTTCACCTTCAGCCCTGAGATCTCCGCGAACTCCCCCAACAGTTTCTCAGCCACTACCACCTGTTCCTTGCCCTTCAGGACCAGCGTCGTGTCGTCTGCATAACCAATGTAGTCCAAGCTCCCTTTCACCCCCCTCTTCCTGACCCCCAGTTTCCTCCGTTCTATTTCCTGGCAGAGTGGCTCAACCGCGCAGAGGAAGAGGTATGGGGCGAGCGGGCAACCCTGCCGAACACCTTTGTCCATCTCCACCCGTTCCCCGATCCAGCCGTTCAACAGCACTCTGGTCGCCGCTCCATCGTGAAGACCCTTCACCCATCTCGTGAACTTCTCCGAAAAGCCCATGTTGCCCAGTGTCGTGAAAAGGTAGTCCCGCGATACCGAGTCATAAGCTTTCTGAAAATCAACCAACAACAGCAGCCAGTCCTCGTCTTCCTGCTCCGCAGCGTCAATCGCATCCGCTACCAGCGAGACAGCATCAGCGAGACTCCTCCCCGGAAGGAAGCCGAACTGGTTACCGGAGATCACTTTCGGTAAGACCACCTTGATTCTATTCGCCAACACCTTCGCTAGCAGTTTGTAGAAGAAGCTCAGTAATGTGATCGGTCGATAATTCCCCAAATCCCCCCTGTCGCCTTTCTTGTGCAGAAGGATCGTAACCGCCGTCGTAAAGGATTCCGAAAGCACACCCGTTGACTCAAGGTCCTGACTTCCTTCATCACCGCCGGACCCAGCAGCTCCCAATTCCTTTCGAAAAACTTTTTCGGCAAGCCGTCCTGCCCCGGGGCTTTCCCCGCCGGTAAGCCTTTCAACGCCACTTTCACCTCCTGTTCTGCCCATTCGCTGTCCAGCTGCCGGCGATCACATTCCTGCAGCGTTCGTCCCTCTTCAATCGGCCACGGCTCCACAGGCGAGGACGTCGGCGACAACGCGTAGGCCTCACGGAAATGCTCAGAGGCCGCTTGCAGCACCTCGCTCGCTCCTTTCCTCAACACCCCCTTGAAGGTGAGCTCCGCAATCTCAGTTTTCGCTTTTCTGGACTTGACCAAACCGGACAGGAAGCCCGATGGAGTCTCACCCGCCAGCTCCTGCATCATCCCCGTCAGAACTTGCAACCGCTCCTTGTTGCTGTCTTGGTAGAGCTTCAGAGCCACCTCACACCGTACCAGCTCCTCGTACAACGCCTGCGACGAAGGGTCAGACATCACTTTCCATCTTAGCTCTTCCACCTTCTGCTCCAAGTGTACCATGGTCGCCTTAACCCGTTTCCTCTCTTCTGCTACATGCGCCCTCATGCTTGCCCGCAGACACGTCACCAATCTCTCCAGGCCCTGATCCGGACAATTCGCCTGGGAAGCCAAGACCGCCGATATGATGTTCCGGACACCCTCGCCCCCGGCATGAGGTGCTTGAAGCCTCCACAACCCTGGTCCATGGTCATCTGCCGATGCAGCCTTGAGCGACACCGACACCGCAAATCAGTGGTCTGTTAATCCGTATGGGACCATTCTATGCTTCGCCTCTGTAACGCAGTTGAGAAGAGAATGTGAAACTAACACCCTGTCAATCCGTGTGCTTGTTTTTGCAGACCTTGAGAAGAAGGTGTACTCCTTCCGGGTCGGGTGGAGGCACCGGAAAGCGTCTTGCATATCCCATCTCGAGCAGATCTGCAGGAGCCTCTGGTTTTCCGCCGGTGTACCCAACTTCGAAGACTTGTCAAGCACAGGGTCCGCAACGATGTTCAGGTCGCCAAGAAGAATGGTATACGGGGAGGCGCTCAAGTTCTGTACAAAAGGCGTTAGTACGTCGCGAAAGAAAACCCCCCTAGCGGGTGCCTGCGCCGGTAAGTATACAGCCACCACCCTGCAGGTCAGATCGCGCCATGCAAGCATCAGACTGATGAGCCTGCCGTGTTAAACTGTATTATGCTTGTAGGCTGTAGTGGGGTAGCCAATATGGGGTACAACCCCAACTAGGGTTTCATATTTGTACCCAAACTTCTGCTAGTTCAATCATTCTTGCCTAGTTATCCTGAAATGGTATTCAGAGCAGGAGGTCCCTAGGACCTACCGACCGTTTTTTTTTAAGGGCCCACCACCGCTCGCATGCGGTTACCACGCTACCCCGTGCCCTAGCCTCGTAGCGCCCTCGTGCGCCCTCGTTAGCGCCCTCGTGCGCCCCTCGTTAGCGCCCTCGCGCGCACCCTCGTTAGCGCCCTCGCGCGCCCCTCGTTAGCGCCCTCGTGCGCCCCTTGCTAGCGCCCTCGCGCGCCCCTCACTAGCGCCCTCGCGCGCCCCTCGCAGTGTCGCCCGCCCGCCGAGCCGCCCGCTCGCAGCCCGCTCGTCCTGCTGCCCGCTTCGCAGCCCGCCCGCCCGCTCGCTGCCCGCTTCGCGGCCCGCCCGCCACGCAGCCCGCCCGCCCGCTCGCTGCCCGCTTCGCGGCCCGCCCGCTTCGCAGCCCGCTCGCTCGCTGCCCGCTTCGCGGCCCGCCCGCTTCGCAGCCCGCTCGCTCGCTGCCCGCTCCGCGGCCCGCCCGCTTCGCAGCCCGCTCGCCCGCTCGCTGCCCGCTTCGCGGCCCGCCCGCCCGCTCGCTGCCCGCTTCGCGGCCCGCCCGCTTCGCAGCCCGCTCGCTCGCTGCCCGCTTCGCGGCCCGCCCGCTTCGCAGCCCGCCCGCCCGCTCGCTGCCCGCTTCGCGGCCCGCCCGCCTCGCAGCCCGCTCGCCCCGCTGCCCGCTTCGCAGCCCGCCCGCCCGCCCGCCCGCTCGCTGCCCGCTTCGCGGCCCGCCCGCTTCGCTGCCCGCTCGCAGCGCCGCCCGCCCGCCCGCTACCTGCTTCGCAGCGCCGCCCGCTGCCTCACTGCCCGCTTGCTGCGTCCCCTCTGCTGCTGCCGCTGCTCTGCTGTGCCCTCACGCCTGAGCTATGGCCTCTATTCGCGTTCTTTCCTTCGATGCTGAGGGCCGTCCCGTGCAGTTCACTTCCTGGCTCGACGACCTGCAGTTGTATCTTATGAGCAATAGCACGGACCACATCTCCCTCTATGACTACGCGTCTGGTGCTGCCGCTGCTCCTGCTGCCACAGCCGAGCTTAGTGTTCGTTCCCACTGGCAGACTCGTGACGCAGCTGCTCGCCTAGCCATTCGTAGTCACCTGCCGCTAGCTGAGCTCGAGCATTTTGGCGACTGCAAATCCGCCGTTCTACATCCTCGTGTACGTCGACGACTTGGTCTTTGCTACTGCTGACACTGAGGCACTCGCTCGTGTGAAGTCGGAGCTGCAGAAGAGACACACCTGCACTGACCTGGGTGAACTGCGTAGCTACCTTGGCTTGCAGATCACCCAGGACAGAGCTCGCCGCACCATCACCCTGACTCAGTCACACATGGTGCAGCAGGTCCTTCAGCGCTTCGGCTTCCAGTTCTCCTCACCACAGGCCACACCTCTGGCTACCAGCCACTCGCTCTCAGCTCCACCTTCGGACGAGTCCGTAGAGCCGAGTGGCCCGTACCCAGAGCTTGTAGGCTGCCTCATGTACCTGATGACTTGCACGCGACCTGACCTCGCGTACCCTCTTAGCATCCTTGCTCGTTACGTTGCGCCTGGGAGACACCGGCGAGAGCACTGGGAGGCTGCTAAGAGGGTGCTGCGTTACTTGTGCAGTACATCAGGCATGGGGCTGGTGCTTGGAGGACGCGAGAGAGTTGTCCTCACTGGTCACTCGGACGCTTCTTGGGTGGACGACCTGGCTACGCAGCGGTCGTCACAGGGTTACACCTTCAGCCTTGGCTCTGGTTCTGTCTCGTGGCGGTCCACCCGCTCTTCTTCTGTTCTCGGCTCTAGTTGTGAGGCTGAGATCTACGCCACAGCCATGGCTGCACAGGAGTTACGCTGGCTCACCTACCTGCTGACTGACTTGGGAGAGCGGCCTAGTTCTCCTCCAGTTCTGTACGGTGACAACAAGGCGGCTCTTGCCTTGTGTCAGGAGCACAGACTGGAGCACAGGACGAAGCACATTGCTCTTCGCTACTTTCTTGCTCGAGAGCTTCAGCAGCGCGGTCAGCTTCGGCTTGTGTACGTGGACTCGAAGGCCAACACTGCTGATATCTTCACCAAGGCGCTCCCGCCTAGTGATCATCAGCGGCACTGTACTTCTTTAGGCCTTGTGTCCACGTTTCCTCACTTGCTCACTGCTTGACATTCTTTGTACTGTACTTTATATATATCTTGTTGCTTGCTTGCTAGGTTTTGATCACTGTGTTGCTTGTCTTGTACTATATCTAGCACTGCATGTGAACTGGCCTTGTGGCCTTTACTTGTGCTCGGAGTGTGGTGACGTTGTGATCCACCCTGGGCTTTGCTTTGCTTTGCTGGACTGGTCTTGTGACCCTTTGTTCTCCCCCACTTTGCCTATGGGGGTGTGTTAAACTGTATTATGCTTGTAGGCTGTAGTGGGGTAGCCAATATGGGGTACAACCCCAACTAGGGTTTCATATTTGTACCCAAACTTCTGCTAGTTCAATCATTCTTGCCTAGTTATCCTGAAATGCCAGACTCATGTGTAACCACATCCGTGAACCGCATGCCTGGCAGGAAACTTAAGACCGCCACCCCCCCTGCTCTCTGTGACGGGCCAACTACCGCCTGAGCTTCCGACCGGATTTGCGTCCAGAAGTTATGATCCTGTGAAACACGTGTGTCAGTGAGTACCACTATGTGTGCTACCTTTCTGATCCACTTTCTGCATCTCTCCTGTTTCCCGCAGCTACCGAGCCCGTTGATGTTGAGCTCGAGAAAGGTTAAGCTGTTGCGTTTATCCATTAACCACCCTCTTTGAGCCCCACAGCATCCACGGGCGATTGATCTTTATTGCGACGATGCATCCTGCTACAGCGAAGGAGAAACAGGCACCAACTACACAACATGCACCGAACAACCACAACGGCGTCTCATCCGCTAAGCCGCTGTTCACTTCTTTGCCGGCACAGCCATGAACTCCTTTTTGAAAGCAGCCATCTTCTGCGAGTGCATGCTGGCGCGCGTTGCAGCACCTTCTGACTTCAGCCCTCCCTTGTGCCTGGCAGAGGCCACATGAGCCGCCGCCGGCTCGAAACGATTCCCTTGGGCCTTCTCGCAGACAGTCTGTACGCACACCCACTCCTCCCGCACACCTCCAGTAGAGGTGAGTATGACTGCGGGGTCTTTCAGAATGCGCGTCAGGGGCGCTGTGGCTTTCAGGGAAGCCGCTGCGAGAGGAGGTGAGGAGACAATCGTCAGTACGGCTCTGAAGGCACGGTACGAGCGGAGCAGAAATCGAAGGTAACGAAAGCGAAAACCGAGGAGGAAGAGGCTTCCTGCTTATACCGTTCATGTCATGAACCTTTTTGACCGTCAGGTTCCAGTTGGTGAAATTCTCCTGTCTCGGGGTGACATAGTGGTCGTGGTAGCGGGTCATGTGCTGGCCACTGCAGAGCTCGCAGGTAAGCGACGGGTAATGAAGCAGGTAGCGCCTGCCAGTCGACGGGTCCTCCACAAAGTACCTCCAGCGATACCCATCGTCGACATGAGGTACAAAAAGGCCACGGATCCGATCGGTGTCTAACCCAGTGACCGGATCAACGGTCCGGTGAAAACCAAAGCCGCTGGCGAAAGCGCTCCGACCACGCTTAACCAGCGTCGACACCACCAGCAGGTGACGTATCAGCTCAGCAGTAATGTCCGCAGGGACTCCCTTGACAACAACCTCCTTCGCCCTCGGGTTCAGCAGACGCTCACGAAGAAAACGCGCGTCCTCCGGATGCTGCCAGGTAAAGTCGACCACGTCGCCGTTCACACACTCGTGTCTGACGACCTGGCTCCAAACAAAATTCGCATCGCGGACGTGGTTGAAGGTAACTTGAAGGCGACCATAACGCACGCCAGAGAAATAAGTCGCGGTAAGCTCCTAATAAGTTGTCGTCTGCAGCACGTCCGGCGACAGCTGATCCTTCCAATCATCCAGCAAGGCAGCCACAGTTACAGCAGTGCGCTTGACTTCGGGTTTCCTGTTAAACGGCACCAGCAAGGTTAGCGAGAAGCGTTTCAAAGCGATAATGCTGCCAAGCGAAGTCGGTTCCAGATGTTCATCGGAGTCGTCACTCAGGTAACCATCGTCGTCGTCATCAGGGGCCTGGTCAGACGCAGCATCCTCATCCTCCTGCGCGGCAGCATCCGCATCAGCCTCACCATCAGCGGCCACCTTTCCGTCCTCCTTAGCAGCAGCACCAGCGACCCCGGCAGCACCATCGCCGTCTTGTCCAGCGGGAATGTCAGCCTTGATCTGTAAGTCCAGCAAGTCTTCGAAGGGACCGAGCACCGCAGGCGCCGAAGAAGAAGCCGGCGTACGACCATTATCGGCAGCATCCTTCACAGGCACAGCAGGTACATTGGCCATATCACCCTCCTTGTCAGTATCAAGAGTCTTCTTGCCAGTCTTGTTGCTGCGACCTTTCCCCATGGTGCGATGATGAGAGAAGCTTGACAGCCCGTTGGAGGCTGAACAACAAGCCGGACTGAGCACATTTGACGCTGAAGCAGACTGTTTGTACTTCATATGTTTGAAACTGAAACGCTGCAGGTCCAGGCCCGAGGGCAGCGCCAGAACCATAGGGAACGCCAGGCAGTCAAGCTGGGTAAAAACCACGGAGATTGGTGAACCATAGAGAAAGTCGGCCTTGAGAGTAGCGCGAGCTGATGACAAAACCAAAGGTAATGCGCGATGATATCCATTAGGAAACTTAGATACTTGTTTGAAGTCATGTGCAATAGTAGGCGTTGATGATGCTTGAAACACTGACGACTGCCTGGAACTCATATAAATGGTGTTTAGGTTCCCGTAATGAACTCTTAAAATACACCATTGTGTAGAGCTTAAAGTCGCGCGTCGTATAAGTGTCTCAATGTCTGCATCAGGACAGAAATTGCTGCACATTGACGTAGTTAAAGCTCTCCGCCATGGCCATGGATGTATTGTCATAGCTGCTGATATTCATAGTTCATGACGAACGAGATGAACTGTTTGGTGGAAAACCAATGAATCTGACTAGTTTAGAAAACCAAATGTGTTATGATAGGGGTGGTTCCAGGCCCCGGAGAACAGGACGAAGGGGACAAGAGGAGACTGGGTTTCTAGTGTGAAGACTGGTGTTTGGATACGACTGGGTTTCTAGTGTGAAAACTGGTGTTTGAATGCTTTTGCTAGTGATCCAAAAACCACCCTGCTACAAAGCCTATCGGTTCCTACACACTGCTAGGCCAGATTGGATTGCAACCCTAGCTCGGATTTGGCTGGGGTGCTGCAAAACAAATTGGGTTCCGTTTGTCATGAGGTGTTTACGCGGTGATGACGAATACCAGCGTCATAGGAATCCGTGCTTCTTCAAATACAGTACAAATGGTTCCGCTATAAAGTCCCGCGCTCACAAAGTCCCAATTTCAGAATGAGGAGCTTTTTCCTTTAATTCCTAGGTGTGGCCCCTCCTCTACAGTCCCTTTTTTGACCAGGTTCATTGCACGTATAAGTGCCTTGAACATTTACGGAGAATGCTAAAAAGGGCAGTTTTGTTTTGAAATAAACATTTACAACTGATATTTTTTGTTTCTCTTGACCGCGCTTGTTTCTTATTCCCGTCGCGCGATTCCTAGCGCGCTCCACGATGACATCTCAGTAATCTCGCTGACAGGAAGGAAAAACAAAAAGACAAACTTATTATGGCATCAAACATAATCGATGTTGTTTATTTCTGCCCGTTTTTCACGCATCACTGATAACGCGTAAAACCGTTCGACGAGAAGTTGAAGCAAGCGCGGTCCATACGTACGTATATGACAAAAAACAACAACCAGTAGAGACGTAAAACCGCTTTTCATGCAATTTTCTCGAATTTGGGACTATAGGGTCCCGTTTGCCCGGGGTTTCGGACATTTTGACATATAGTCCGCGCGCGGCGTGTTTCTCCGTCGGACTTTAAACGAGAACAACTGTACAAAGCCCCACCTCCCTCCTACCAACCAACCCACACGCACCTCGACACTTCGTGTTCTAATTAGAATGATCCTCCGTGGAAGTCTCTGGAGCACAACATCGCAGGACATAGAAAGGCGGGCGACAAACTGTAGCATCTCAAACTCTTCATGAAGGCGGAGACACCACCAAAAACGCCAGTCGAACTCTCGCGAAGTTTTTTCGGCATCCCCATCGAGGAACAAACATCACACCCGCTAACGACTCGAAGCCTCAATGATGTGCCTTGTGAACACGCCTTTCATGAAATGATGTAGTATGTGTCAACAGTTGCCAGGGTGTCCAACATCGAGAGATGGTGTTGTGAAATGAACACTCCTTTTTTTTTTCGTTACTGTAGGTGCATTGCAGTGCACTGTTAAATTTCGGATGTTTTTTCATGGATTTTCTATCTGGCGTGACAAGCTATGAAAGCTATGACCAAGACGTGGGCCCTAGTGGGATCTGGTACCTGGTGGGATCCCAGCATTCCCTGGGGTTTTCGGAACTCAGGCCCGGTTCGGCAGGCATTAAAAAAACGGTTTCCCCGTATGGGATACAAGAAACCGACCACCATGGAGCCTTCGTTGATAAGCGCGCTAAACGTTATATAGGTTCGAGATAAGCGGATCACCGCCGAACCTGACAAGAATGGAATGCCAGCCGAACACCCCTTTTAGCTCTGGCATTTTTTATCAGAGGAATCTTCCTCGAACCCAATTTCTCTGGCAAACTGTCCATTTTCTCATCCGCCGCACCATGCGGCCTCGAGGCCCCGCACCATGCGGGGAAAGTGATTCGGGGCAATCGCACCTTGCCCTGAAAAAAACAAATCCCTGTCTTTCGCACCCTTCCTCGTGCCCAGAGGAAAATCACACATCTCCATCACACCATCACGAACACTTCGAACGCACTTCCCAATTGCAGGGCTGCCCGGGCTGCCTGTACAGTGATTCTGCGCTCCATCAGCGCAGCTGCATGCGGGCTTCTGCGCAGGGCCTTTCACGGGCGATGCCATTTTTCAAGGCCCATTTAATGCACCGAACGCACTAGCCATTTTTTCCGAAGTTGCGCTGGGGCTACAGGCTGACTTCGCAGCTGTTTCTTGGGGCCATTAAAATGGCCCGTTAAAATGGCCGATAATGGCGATGATGGCCATATTGCCTGCCGAACTGGGCCTCAGTATGTATTTCTGACGAGAAACGAAAGACGCTGTTGCTTCTTGAATGCACCTCATCGAGCAGGTTGAACCTAGCTCACTTTGATATGGCTGGGCTGCTCTCAAGACTTGAGGAGAGTCTTGGTCCTAAAAGTCCGCGGAGGCATGGTCCCGTATTGGCTAGTGTAGATCTGACACAACAAAAGGCCTGATCGGTGGGGATTTGAGCAGAATGTACGGTGCCGATCATGTTGGGTGTTGAAACTCGTCAGAGCATTGTCAGGTACAGTGACATGTACACCTAAGGACGCGTCACAATTGAAACGTCGATCCTCCAAGGCATCGATGTGTGAATGTACAGTAGCCTCGCGAATTCGTGAATGCTATGGTAATCTTGTTTCGTTAGAGTCCGTGTGACCTCACGTCACAGTAAGATCATCCGATATTGAATCGCAACCGCACTGAAATCCCGCTTCAAGCGTTCACATCGCTCAGAAATGTTAAAACTTCCGCCAAAAATGGACCTCCAGCGCGATCTTGTCCCACGCAGGTTGAAACCTGGCTGTGGCGATCGATGCTCGCGATTTCGGTGTGTGGTCCCGACCCTCAGCCGGTGTTACAATTGTAACGCGTTCCAAAGACCAACATGTCGGTTCTATCCCGCACACGAGGCGTCCTCCTGCACGTTGAACCTGGCTGGCGAGGCGAATAATCAAACCTGAATTCCGATATTAGCACATAAATCATACTTCTTACATTTTTTTTGTGCAATAACTGCTTAGACACATTCTAGAGCCAATCATCAGAAGATACTGGAAAGGGGAGGACTATAAAAGACCATTCAATATGTTGACAAACATATGCATACTCTTCCCCAGTCTACACAATTAGCGCTTTCTAGGGGAAGGTGGCTAATGTGTGACACAAGAGGCCATGCATCGCGATGCCCTTGCGATGCTGTACCACGTTTTATCACAGCCCATGGCGTAACCTGCAAAGAGCATGTCACTGTACCAGCTTCAAACATGCAGAGTAAGTGCAACGAGTCATGCAATAGTGGAGCCCATCACCTGAAAGGAGCGAGTACAGGTAGAATGCAGTGAGTAGAACCTCTAACTGTTATGTTTTGAAAGGAACGAGCACAGGTTCATTGCTTGCTTCTGAACACATTGGGCAGCGGACAAGAAGAGACGCACGACAATCAACATATCGGCAAGAAACACACCCTTGAAGCAAGAAGCTGGGTGGGTTTGATGAATTGAAGAGATGACTGGTAGAGTGACCGGGATGGTTGATGGTTGACCCCCTCAGCAGGCCACTCACACGCCAAGCACCCATGAAAGCAAGCACCCAAATAGCACCTAGCACCAGGCTTCCAAGCCACTTCTCATCCCTACAGCCTCTCCCTCAATTCACCCCTCCTCTTCCTCACCCGTACCTCTCACTTCTCCCCCGCCCTCACCCCTCGTCCTCACTCCTCTTCACTCCTCACCCCTCTCCCCACCCCTGCAACTCACCTCATCCAAATCATCCAGTATTGGCGGTACATCTACTACATAAAAAAGCAGCCATTTATAGATGTCATGCGCGCGTAATACCTTTTTACTCACCCCTGCTACTCACCTCATCCAGATCATCCAGTATTGGCGGTGCATCCATCACATCTAATGACATGACCCATCTCCTAGCTCCTCCTCTTCACTCCTCCTCACCTCTCACCCACCCTTCCCACCCCTGCTACTCACCTCATCCAGATCATCCAGTATTGGTGGTACATCCATCACATCTAAGAACATCGCCCACTCTTCTCCTAACTCCTCCTCTCCTCCCATCCCAATCCCCGCCCCCATCAACCCTTCCACGCCGTCAGGGGCAGCCATTTGGAGATCGCTGGCTGCACCGCCCTCTATAAGCACGTCTAGCCCGCCCTGTACACCTGAAAAGACTCCTGCGCCTAATAAACCAGGGGAGAACACAGGATCTGTATCTGTTCCTCCTGTTCCTGCTGCAGCTGCTGCCGTTAGTTCCGCTTCTGGTTCTCCTATTGCTGCTGCTGTTGCCATTCCGCCACCTGCTGCTGCTTCTGCTTCTGCTGCTGCTGCCGTTACTCCTACTCCTCCTCCTGCTGCTGCTGCTGCTGCTGCTGCTGCTGCTGCTGCTGCAACACCTCCTCCTGCTTCATAAATATTGGATGCTGCATCAAGCCCTCTCCGACTCTCCAACCCGCACCGTCAGGCTCGGCACCGGCTCCCCCTCTCTCGTCCCAACCTGCAGATCCAGGTTCGGAAGCACTGCGGCCCATAGGCTCGGGATAGCCAAACCCGACACCCGGTGGTTCGGCGGAACTTTGACCATCACAATCCAGTCGCTCGGACAAGGAAGCTTCCCCACACGCTTGGTGGAAGGTTCCTCCATCCATACTCCCACCAACCCGTGCTTTAAATTCCTGTGCCCCTGCCACACGTGCTTCTGCCCCTCGTGTTGCTACCACGTGTGCCTCTGCCTTTGCCTCTGCCTGCGCATGTGCTTGTGCGTGCGCATGTGTTCCTCGAGGTGAGTGAGTTGGATTATTCTGTCCCAGCAGCAGTTGGGACAGCAGGTCAGCTTTGGCTGCCGGGGCTAGGCTCGCCACCAGGGACTGTGCAGCAGCATCGGGGGATTGCTTGCCGGATATCAAATAACTTAGTAGGAGGTCCTGCTGCTGCTGTTCCTCCAAAGATAAGTGCTCCTGCTCTTGCTGCTGCTGCTGCTGCTGCTGTTTCTGCTGCTGCTGCTGTTGATGTAGCACCTGCTGAAGCTGCAGTGCTGCCTGTTTCTGTCTCAGCTGCTGCACCATCTGCTGCTGCTGCTGCACTTGTAGCTGTTGGCGTTGTTGCTGCTGTAACAACTGCCGTTGCTGCTGCTGCTGCTGCTGCTGCTCCACTGCCTGCCTGCCTAGTGGACTGGAGGCAATCCTTTCCCCCACAACCCCACCACCACCACCACCACCACCGCCGCCACCGCCGCCGCCGCCACCGCCGCCAGCAGCAGCAGCAGCAGGTGGTGGGGGGCGGGGGAGATGACCAGGCAGAGAGGCGGACTTGGGAAAGAAGCGTGAGGCAGGGCGGGGGAGGGGAACTGATGGGAGGGCGCGGGAGTGTGAGGAGGGCAGGGGGTGCGCGGACCCATGGGTGGGGGGAAGGGGGGGTGCATGTGCGGATGCATGGGGAGGGGAGGCTGAGGAGGGAGATGCAGAAGGAGGGGAGGAGGAAGCCTGCAAGGAGTGGAGAGTGCGGGAAGGCTGGGAATGGGAAGTCGACTTGACTATGCCCAACCTTGGGCTCCCAAACATGCCTGCCCTCTGCTGCTGCTGCTGCTGCTGCTGCGCCTGCACTTGCTGGTGTGATTGCTGCTGCTGCTGCTCCTTCTGTTTCTGCAGCAACAGATTCTCGAGCAGCTTTGCAGCAGCAGCAGGGTCTCCATTGCAGCGGTGCAGCAGCATCTGCAGAGTGGCATTCTCTGCCGCCCTCAACGCATTGCTCACACCAGCACCAGCACCAGCTACAACCATCAACACCATCAGCAGCAGCACCAGCAGCACCAGCAGCATCAACACCACCCATGCCTCGATCCGCTATCCCGTCTGCACTAGCATCCAGTCCTTCAACCATACGCATCCCCCCCATTCCGCCCATCCCACCGATGGCATCAGTGCCACCTGAACCATCCATGGCATCCATACCTACCCCCATTCCTCCTTCCATCAGTGCATTCTGCTCCTCCCCATTCCCTCCTCCCATGCCCATGCCGCCCCCCATCCCCTCGCTCACGCCCCTATCCCCGCCCATGCCCATGCCCATATCTACATCCAAGCAAGCGTCCCCATCAGCCAAGCCGCACGTGTCAAGAGCAGCAGCATATGCATTAGCCGCAACAGAGGTGCCATCAGTTGCAGCAGCATTGCCATCAGCAGTGGCGGCGCTACCATCACCACTGCCATGCATCATTATCATCTCCTGCAGCAGCCATTCCATCTCATCCACCCCCACCTCCCCTCCCACTCCTGCACCCCCTTCCGCCCTCCTTCCATCTCCCCACCCGTCTCCTCGTCTCTCTCCTATCCCCGCCCCTTCAACTGCTCCCTGGTTCGACTGAGCAAACGCAGCATCATGCACCATCGCTGCTTCCCCTGTTGCCATCCCCCCTGCCCCTGCACAAGCCCCCCCACCTTCCATCCCTGCTCCTCCTGCCAGCCTTGTTCCCCCTATACCGCCTCCCATTCCGCCTCCTATCCCCCCTCCTGCCATCTCCCTCCCCCGCCCCACGCCCGCACCCCTGGGGGACCCTTCAAACGGGCACAGATTCAGAAACTCAGACAGAAACTCGGGGTTCGAGAGACTCGACATATGCCGGCTCGAGAAACCCCCATGCCTCCCGCCCCCCATGTTCCCCCCCATGCCCCCCCCGCCTGAGCTAGCAGTGGGGGAGGCCACTCTATGCATCACTCTGGCAGCAGAAGTGGTATTGGCGGAGGAGGAAGGGGAGGAGGACGGCGAGGTGGAGAAGGAGTGGCGCCGGATGTGGGCGGCTGCAGCTCGGGTCATGCCCTGAATGGGACTCGTGCAGCTGAGGCTACGTTTAAATAAGGGGCTTGATACCATTCTGCTTAGAGCAGCAGACGGATGGCTGTAACCAGACGCACCCACACCCCCTCCTGCTCCGCCTCCTGCTCCTCCCGCTCCTGCCCCTCCTCCCCCGCCCCCTCCCCCGCCCCCTCCCCCATCCCCGCCTACCCCCCCTCCGCCTAGCGCCCCCCCCAGGCGGAAGCTCCCCCCCAAAAGGGCGCGGGAGGGGGAGAGCTGGCGAGCGAGGGCGGCGCGGTCGGCGGAGGACAAGGTGTGGCGGCGCTGCTGGGCGAGCGAGCGCGACCTGCGGTGGGAGGGGGCTTATCTGCTGACAGTGATGTGTGCACGCCTGTGTGCTGCTGATGGTGCTGTTGCTGCTGCTGAAACTGTGGGTGCTGCTGCTGAAGCTGCTGCTGCTGCTGTGGACCGTTGCTTATGTGGTTGGTGTTACTCGTGTGGTTGGTGCCTGGGGTGGCGGCATGAGGCGGGGACGTGGCGATGAGGGTAAGTCCGGGCGGCAGGAGTTGTCCTGTTGTGGGGAAGGTGCGGGAGTGGTCTAGAGTGACACAGAGAGCGTCGAATTCAGCCAAATCTGCAGGTGAGGCTGTGGGGTGGAGAGGAGGGGTTGCGGCTGCTGCAGCGCCATTTGCAGTAGCAACAGCAGTGGCAGTGGTAGCAGCTGCATTACCAGCAGCAGCAGCACTACCAGCAGCAGTGGCAGTGGCAGTAGCCGCAGAGTCATTAAGCTGCTGAGAAGAAGTATCATCAGGTGGGGACATGCGTGGGCGGGTGGGAGCGAGTGGGGGGAGAGTGACAGGCGAGCAAGGCGGCTTGGGACTCATTTCAGGTGAAACCCCGGGTACCCCTACTAATGCCCCTGCCCCTGCCCCTGCTAGTACTCCTGCAGGCGCCACTGCAGTCCCCCTTGCTGCCACTGCTCTTCCTGCTCTTCCCTCTGCTCCTTGTCCTGCCGCTGCCGCCCCTCCAGAACCGCAAAGAGTAGAAGCACCACCAGTAGAGGCATCACCAGTACCACCACCAGTAGCACCACTAGCAGCCCCTCCTTCCCCGGCGTCCCCTTCACCTCCACATACCGACATATCCGTTCCCCCTGGCCCTGACGAAAGCTCATACACGTCCTGCCCTGCCCCATCCCCCACACTCTCCATCATCACATTCTCCCCCGGCCGCCACTCCCCTGTGCCTTCCTCTGCTGCCTCATCACCACCACTGCATGCACCCTTCCCTCTCCCCTCCCCAGTTTTACCTGCAAACCCTAGCCCCGTCCCACTAGGCCCACTGGCACCTATCCCGTTCCCCGCTTCCCAATTCTCCCTCTGCAAAGCACCTGGCGACGCACTCAATCCGCCTCCCCCGGCTAAGCCTGCCCAGTCCAGCCCTCCCTTGGCCTTCCCTGTTGCGGCCCATTTGTAGCAGCAGCGGGAGCAACAGTAACAGGAGCAGCTGCAGCACCAGCAGCAGCATCCTGCCTACGCCCCTCTCCCCACTTCGCCGTCTGTCCCTGCTGCTGAAAGTGCTGCTGCTGCTGCAGCTGCTGAAGGCGCTGCTGCTTCTGCTGTTGCTGCCACTGCTGTTGCTGCAGCAGCAGATTCTGCTGCTCCTGCTGCTGCTGAAGATGCTGCTGCTGTTGATGCGAGGCCTGGAGGCCAGGCAGACACTCTCGTCTCTCTACTCTCATCCCACCTTGTCCCCCGGTCGGTGCTTCCTGTGCGTCAGGTGTTTTCCCAGATAGCAATGCAAGCTGGGTCAAGAGCTGAGACGCCTGGGCAGCAGTGAGATTTTCTCCAGAGCTGCCCAAAAGTTTTTTCAAGAGAATAAGGTCTTCTGGTGAAATGTTTGCTGACTTGGTTGTGCTTGGTTGTGATTGGCCAGGAGCAGTTGGGCGGCAGGGGTTATGGGAGGTGGTATTTGGGGGAGGTGTGGATTGGCTTGGAAGGAGGGACTGGTTTGGAAGGGCAGCTTGCAGGTTCGGAATGGGGGTGACTCGGGGGGGCTTCCGAAGCTCGTCGAACTTGGTTCGAAGCTTTGCAATCATCTCATTGGTCGGCTTGATCTGCAACCCGAGAGGTAGGAAAGCGGAAGGGAGTGGGGGAGTCAGTGGGGGTGCAAGTGGGGGAGGGAATGGTACGAGAATGGGAGGGAACAGGGGAGGTGTATCAGAATGAACCAGGAGCGAAACCGTGGGAGATTCTCGACCGGAGCAGAGTGAAGTGGGGGGGTGGTTAAGAGGGAGGAGTGTGAACGGAGAGATAGCACACAGCGGACCGGAACAGTGGAGTGAAGACATACCGGCGTGCAGGCGGCAATCTGAAGCACGCCCTGAGGCACACCAATCAACGCTATGACCTGCATGGTGGGGTAGTGGCATTTCCACAAAGGGGCAATTATGAACAGGATAATTGAGGGTGCGCAGAAGGAAGAAAAGGACATGGAACTGATGAGAGAATCAAAGTTGCAACAGGTGAAACGAAGGGGAAGCGAAACGGAGAGGGGAGTGGGGAGAGGAGAGAAAGAGTGGTGGAGACGAGACGAGGAGAAGGTCGCCTCACCTTGACCCCTGCAGCGAACTGCCTCACCTTGACCCCTGCAGCGAACTGCCTCACCTTGACCCCTGCAGCGAACTGCCTCACCTTGACCCCTGCAGCGAACTGCCTCACCTTGACCCCTGCAGCGAACTGCCTCACCTTGACCCCTGCAGCGAACTGCCTCACCTTGACCCCTGCAGCGAACTGCCTCACCTTGACCCCTGCAGCGAACTGCCTCACCTTGACCCCTGCAGCGAACTGCCTCACCTTGACCCCTGCAGCGAACTGCCTCACCTTGACCCCTGCAGCGAACTGCCTCACCTTGACCCCTGCAGCGAACTGCCTCACCTTGACCCCTGCAGCGAACTGCCTCACCTTGACCCCTGCAGCGAACTGCCTCACCTTGACCCCTGCAGCGAACTGCCTCACCTTGACCCCTGCAGCGAACTGCCTCACCTTGACCCCTGCAGCGAACTGCCTCACCTTGACCCCTGCAGCGAACTGCCTCACCTTGACCCCTGCAGCGAACTGCCTCACCTTGACCCCTGCAGCGAACTGCCTCACCTTGACCCCTGCAGCGAACTGCCTCACCTTGACCCCTGCAGCGAACTGCCTCACCTTGACCCCTGCAGCGAACTGCCTCACCTTGACCCCTGCAGCGAACTGCCTGTCCCACTCCTCTGGTTGCTCCTCGTCCTTGCTGCCATCCTGCTCCATCGTAAACGTGGGAATGGCGTGGCGTGGGATGGCATGGTGTGGTGTGGCATGGTATTGCATGCAGTGGGATGGTAATGCATGTGTGGCATGGGATGGTATGGTGTGGCAGTGTGAACACAGGGCGACAACGAGTGGTGTGGTTACGAGTGGCAGTTTGTGACAGGCAAGGCAGCGCATACTCCAAAACATCCGATAAATCATCATGCACTTGTACTTTTTTCATCCCAACAGGAGTAAGTAATCTAGGCGCATGGCTGCAAGCTTCCGGCGCCCCAAACTATATGTTGTCAAAGCATTCTAAGAGGCGGTCACAGCATGCGTCCAGTCTCACCAGGTGCAGGCGCCCCACGCATCTGCTCTTGAGTTGACTCAAAAGTCAAAATGAATTAATGCGTCCAGTCTCACCAGGTGCAAGCGCCCCACGCCCCTGCTCTTGAGTCGACTCAAAAGTCAAAATGAATCAATGCGTCCAGTCTCACCAGGTGCAAGCGCCCCACGCCTCTAATGGTGCGTGACTTGACCGGCTCACACAGCAGCCGGTACCCCCCCTGCCATCGCCACCCTGCCCAGCAGCCTGCAGACGGACGGGAATTCGGGAATGATCAGAGAGGGAGCATCAGGACAGGGCATCAATAATGGGAATGAATAGTGGTGCTCCCTCCCTCCCCACTCCCGGTCTCCCTCCCTCCCTCCCCCCCTCCCTCCCTCCCTCCTTCCCTCCCTCCCTCCCTCCCTCCCTCCCTCCCTCCCTCCCTCCCTCCCCCCCCCCCCCCCCTCCCTCCTCCCTCCCTCCCTCCCTCCCTCCCTCCCTCCCTCCCTCCCTCCCTCCCTCCCTCCCTCCCTCCCTCCCTCCCTTCCCCCCCCCCCCTCCCTCCCTCCCTCCCTCCCTCCCTCCCTCCCTCCCTCCCTCCCCCCCCCCCTCCCTCCCCCCTCCCTCCCTCCCTCCCTCCCTCCCTCCCTCCCTCCCTCCTTCCCTCCCTCCCTCCTCCCTCCCCCCCCCCCCCCCTCCCTCCCCCTCCCTCCCTCCCTCCCTCCCTCCCTCCCTCCCTCCCCCCCCCCCCCCCCCCATCCCCCCCCCTCCCTCCCTCCCTCCCTCCCTCCCTCCCCCCCCCCCCCCCCCCTCCCTCCCCTCCCTCCCTCCCTCCCTCCCTCCCTCCCTCCCTCCCTCCCTCCCTCCCTCCCTCCCTCCCTCCCTCACTCACTCACCAAGTGTGGCACGGGTAGCGGTGCTCCCACCCCCCTCACTTACCCAGTGTGGCACGGGTAGCGGTGCGAGCGCATGGCGGTGAACTCCTCCTGCAGCGCCAGCATGCGTGCCACGTCAGCCTCCGTCAACGACGCGCCACTCGTCTGCTTCTGGTCGAATACGTTCGTCAGCAGAAAGTACCCGCCCTCCCAGGCTAGCGCCGCTCTGCGTGGGGGAGGGGGGAGGGGAGAGAGGGGAACGATTTTTTAGTCGACTCAAAAGCGCCGCTCGTCTGCTTCTGGTCGAACACGTTCGTCAGCAGAAAGTACCCGCCCTCCCACGCCAGCGCCGCTCTGCATGGGGGAAGGGGGGAGAGGGAGTGGGGAGGGGGGAGAGGGAGGGGGGAGGGGGGATGGGGGAAGGGGGAGGGGGGAAGGGGGAGAGGGGAGAGAGGAGGGGGACAACTAAGTCCAGACCAGACACGAACAGGCGCCCTTCCACACCCGCGTAGCTCTGCATTGGCGACCCAGAATGGGGGAACAAGGCGGAACATGGCGATGGGGTCGACACACGAGTAACCGCCAGTTGCGTCCGTGCAGCTCTGGATGGGTCCGCTGACGATGGCGGGGAATGGAGGCGGGGGGGGGGGGGGAAGGGATTGGAGGGGAGGGAGACGATAGCACTGAGAACAGGAGATCGCGATGCAGACAAGCGGAAAGGACCTCAAGGCTTCTGTCATGAAACAGATGAGCAAGCCGGTTCGCGGAGATTTTAAGGAAACGAGCATGTCCGTGAACTGACGCGGGAGCGGTTTCGAAAGCAGAACGTATGCCGACTATCACGTCGATGCTATGCATTATACAAAAGACGACGGAAGCGTAAGCGGATAAAACAAGCTTGCAAGAAAAGCGCTAGCCTGATATCGTGACGAATATGCAATGCGAAAGAAAAAGAAGAAGAAAAAAAAACTACGATCGGAGTCATCCGGGAGCATCACTGGAAAAGCCGGTTCGGCGAGCTAACACTGAACGGTACCTGACTACCTAGAGTCAATAACTATAGCTAGCTATGCCTGGCAGCTGGTAACATGTCAGGTGTAGCGACAGCGCTTCGGAAGGTGATTGTAGCGCGATGTAGAAACCCTAACTATACGTCGTCGCGTGACAGCTTCTGGCGAAGCGCTAAGGGGAACGGTTCCGTGTCAGCTGCGGTCGTTGGGCTGAGCCCTGGCTACCCGCGACGGCGAATCTGACTGATTTAATAGGAAACCTACACATCAGAACGACACTGGGAGAAGAAGACCGAGCGACGTATGAACTATTTTCTGAAACGAATGTCGAAGAAAGGGGTAAAGAAGCTATCTTGCCAGGACCGGAACGCCTATGAAGAGCGGCATTGGCGAAGGGGAGCTAAACTAAAGAGCTGGGGCATTACACTTGTGACGTGCAGTGCAGCTCAGGAGCGCGCCAAAAGACGGCGTACGTCCACCCGCCTTTGTCGCACAATGTGCTCAACAGAGTCTGCAAACGAGTGTCGGCCATCGTGCTCTTCAGGCTAATTTCCAGCCAACGAGGAATGTATAGTGGTAGCTCGCTAGCTTAGGATAAGTTAGTCAGCTGAGCTCAGATAATATGTTACCAGCTGATAATTCGTCAGCGCGACAAGGCCTGATTGTTTCCCGAACGCGTTTTCCTAGATTCTGGTCCAGGGTCCAATCTAGCACACCCATTCCCATCCACCCAATGGTTGAGTTTTGGACAGGTTGACGGGGTTGTTCTAGGAGGAGGGCTGAGATGCAGATGTAGGGGAACGCAAGCTGAGAAGCGGAGCTGCCATGAATGCTCCAGTGCAGAGGAAATGGAGAACACGGGAGGAGACCAGCCAGACCAACACAGCATCTATTCACAGTGAGTGTCACACAGTCTTCGAGGTTGTGTGTATCACCGGGTCAAGAGTCTGTGTGTATCACTGACAAGCTCGGGGTTTCGTGAACTCACGTTGAAAACCTTCGGAACGAGTCGCAAAACGTCGGTGGGGTGGCTCTCTTTCCAAGGGTCGCATGACTAATTTCAAGCTTTTGAGCCAAGGGCCCCTGAAACATGATTTTCATGCCGACAGCTGCACACGCCCTCGAACAGGTGGTTGGTGAACACAACCAATTATCCTCCCCTACCCGCATGAAATTATTCGACTCCACTGTCTAATCCCAGGATCTCCGGTTTCACCATCAAACCACCCCCTCTTTTACGAGACAGACCCCTGCATAGCCTGACAACTAGGGCCCAACCTCGCTACTGTCACTGATCGACTCTCCACGCTCACGAGTTCGAATGAAATCGGTCAAAGATAAATGGGGAAGTATGCCAACGGTAACAAAAAAGTGGCCCTATAACGCGTACGGTAACTATTTCAGTATGCTTGCACGTGTTTAGTAACTCGTCGCAGGCGAACGATCACGCGAATGGTAACTGATTGAAACTCCCGCCTGGAATGATCCAGACTTCAAGAAATTTGATTTACTGAATAGAAATTTGCACCGTTTTAAATGTTTGGAATGATTCTAGCCGTGATTGCGAAGGATCGCGTATGTTTTATTTCCACAGACTACATAATTTCGGAGCCGTTTCATATCTCTTTTTAGTTCGATTTTCTTTTACACCATTACCACAAACCATGAAAAAATTCTGGAAAGGCGACAAAGTGATTAAAAATTTCTTCAAAGTCGACAAAGTGATAAATTTTTTAAAATATGCAGTAAATTGCAACGGCAGGATAATTGTACAGGCGGGAAAATAATATACACCTCCTAAACAAGCCCTAAACGTCTTGTTGCAAGGTGTTCAGGGTTGATGCTCTAATGATCGCTTGTCATCCGAAAGGGGTTTATATTTTTTGCCCCGAGCGTGCGATAGAATTAGTTACAAAAAATGTTCCGAACAATCGCTCTAATTTTACTTGAATGGATGAATTTGTTTTAAAAACAGTTACTTGTAAGTTAAATGCTTGAATTTCGGAAAGTGTGTCAAAACTTGGTGCGTCAGGATTCGTTAATTCAATCTTGCGCGAGTGGGGGTTTCTAGAATCAGGGTCATTTTTGGCGAGAATTTTTTCTAGTTACTGTTCCCGTGATAGGCTGCTAGTATATTGTTACCAAACGTGTTAAGCGAGTTACCAAACGCGTTAAAACTACATGTAATGATTACCGTACGCGTTATAGCGCCCCATAAAAGTTACCATTGGCATATTTTCCCAAGATAAATTCCCACAACCGAGATGGCGGTCAAGTTTCTCATGTCAGATCAGCTTACCACGCTTTGCTATGATTGGTTGGAACTGGTTCATTGCATACAGTAAAGGTAAAGGGATTTTTTGTCATGAATAGTCTTCACATTTAAAGGCTCCCAAAAAATAAACCACGAGAAAAAATCCACTGCCGAATCAAACCACCCCTCAAGAGGCAGGATGTAAGCAGTGATCTGAAGACAGAATCGATGGCGTTGTTCTGCACCCATCACGTAGGGAAGGGGAGGGAAAATAGGAAGCTGCCTGCCTCTGCAATTTTAGATTCGAAAACGTGGTAAGCCCGGAAAATGCCGACGTGGCAGTCATTTCCCTTTCGAACCTAAGCGAAGGGAAATGCCTGCAAAAGTCATTTCCCTCGAGGGAAGTGCACCCACAAGAAGTATCCTGTTTCCATCACCACCTTTCTCCACGGGCAAATTTATTTGCCTCTGCCCCGCCATCGGCCACCCACCCTTCACGGAGAAGTGCGACGGTGAAGGGAGGGAGGAGGTAGGCTTGGGAACTATTACGA